TTCAAAATAGAATACAGAAATCCTATAAAAGTTGGCAAATTATACTGAAAAAAACTAAGTGAAAGTCTGATGATGATAGAGAAGGGACGTGGCTGCCTCTCATACTGCGTGCGGCACGCGGCCCCTCTTCACCCCTGGTGTGACGGCTTGACGAACACACGTGTGCCCGTGTAACTAGCACAGTCCCCCTGGTTAACAACGCATGCAGGCGAAATAATCCTACTGGCTGAAATTTAGACTTGAATAGGAACAAAAATAATGGAAAAGGGCAGGGAGTGCAATAGGGAATGAATAGAAAAAGAGACAAATCTAAAGCATCCGTTCACATCAAGAGCGTAAACCAAATCGCGGCGGATCGTTAGGTGCGGTACTGCGTCGTCACCACCCCAGCACGCATTTTTCATTGCATCTCGTTAAAAAAATTGCAGTGCTGGAGAAGGTGTAAAGCGTTGAAGCGGACCGTTTTTGAGAGTCCCGTCCGAGATTCCGTTTGCATATTTTTTTTTTTTATTACAGAAATTTGGAGGAGCTAGGGCGGTGATGTAAATTTGTAGGAATAATAATTTGAATAGGGCATTCGTTTTGGGTGGTGGGGTGTAAATTGCGGATGGACTAACTCGGGCTCGGCGGTATGTGTATTGAGAGTATTTCAAAGAGTTATTTATTGTTAACTCACGTGACCTTTTGTAAGGGGGCGCGGAAAAACAAATATAAGAGATAATAATTCGACAAAAAGAAAAGAAATGATACGACGTATATAAGTGTCAAAAACCACGCTTTGCAATAAGTGCATGCATTGGTGAGTCCGTCTTTGATTTGATAGAGAATTGTATTTCGCAGTTTAGTTTTTATTAAGTATCGATCGAGCATTTTTTTGTTGCTATTTTGATTAATAGAATTAGATTGAATCTGATTACTCACACCTCTATGGCCTAGTGGTAATATCAAGGACTCTGAATCACACGGTACGTGGTTCGAATCCTCGTATTAAAGACATCAATCTGCATTGAGGTCAATGGGTACCTGGCAGAAATTAATTCTTTGAATTGCTAGAGCGCCTAATACAGGCATTATTTACTCTCAATTTTCCCATTTACATTCCTCCATTCCCATATCTTCAATTTCCTATCTTCTGTCTGTTATCTCGTATTCCTCCCTGCTATTTTATTTTGTCTACATATCTATAAATTATTTCTGTATTCACTGGGCCTACCCACAACAAGCATTGCTTCACTGTAGGCCCCTCAACTGCATAATTAATGATGAAATGTTACAACCTTGTCATTATGCTGTACTTGACTCGTATGGTTTATTATCATCATGGTCTACTATATGTTTAAACAAAATTATTTGCCTTGTTTTAATTTGTAAATAAAAGATGTACACCAAAAGATGAATATTGTGTATTTGAAACAAAAGGATGTGGAAACTGAAATGAACTTTATATAAATGCAGATGAGATTCGTGAGAATAATATGAAAATAGAAGCTGCGCTATATACATGCATCTATTTTCATCATTTATACCTTTTTTTTTTATCAATGTATTATATCAAAAGGGTGATTTAGACGTCTAAATTGATTTTAGGCAATAATATAGTTTGGGGTTTTTTAAAGTTGAAACGACCGATTCACTACCACTCTAGTCTTTTCTATACGAGTGTCCAAATTAACTATAGTCCCATTTTCAACTATGAAATACATCAGTTCATAACGAAATTGATTATTGAATAATAAAGAAAATTTAAGTTTGAGATCGTAGCGAGATATAGTGAGTTTTAAATGCGATCAAATAAACTTTTAGTTCCTGATCATATAGGCCTACATCATTAGGCGTCATAATCAGATATGCTCTTAAATTCAAATCAAATGTCAAATTTCTTTATTTATGTAATGATCAGATACACTAAAATCTGAGGTAGGGCAGTAACAACATGGAACAAATAATTGGGCTTGCCCGCCTATAGCATGCAGTTGGTAACTTCATGTAGAAAAGGGAACTTATTTACCACAGCATGAAAATCAGACTCGGATTAATCAACCCTCAGCAAGTCATAATTTTGATTTATCGATCTGTCCGGGAAATTGAAAGAAAATAACAGAGCGGGGATTTATTCAGACTCTCTTGGAGCGATATTCCTATGTCTATCTTTAGTCGAACTTTATTGAAGAGCGCAGAAAATGCGCGCGTTTTTCACCTGCCGAAGTTTCCGCTCAAAACTCGGAGTTCCTTTCTGTCGAAGGGTAGAAGCGGGGGAGAAGCACCTGCCCCATCGCTGGAGCCTTTGCATAGTTAATGCGCTAAGGCTGACATAGTCCTACACTCTCACTGCTGATGCTAGCAAGGCTAATGTACCTCATCATGGCAGATAATAAATGAAGGACCGTTTTCAGACATATTATGATCAAGAAGTTTGAACCATGGCTGTAGGCAGAATGGAAGGAATGGAAGAACAATGAAGAGATGGAGAAGTGTAGAGTACGAAAAAGAAATATACAACAGAAGATTACGAATACCGTAAGAAGAAGTCAGAACTTAAAATGAGATGAAATAAAGACGAATCAAAGAATAGCAATGAATACATAATTATATAGAAAAGCTTTTCGTTTTGCACGAAAATCGCAAAAAATAAACAAAGAGCAGAAATTAGGAAATATTAACGAAAGCTAAAGGAACAAAGCGCGCGAGAATACAAAATGGCTGTGGTTGCATAAGAAGAATAAAAACAACCTGTCAAACTTAAATGTGGACAGAAACATTTTGGGAATTGAGTAATTACTTATAAAGGGCCATTAACATGGACGGCTTAACTATTATTATATCAAAGTAACAAAAATACCATCTCATTACCTTCAAATGTAGGTTCCCATCAATTGTTGTAGTTGTTTATTATTTATGGCTTTGTATTGGGGGGGGGGGGTATTTGAAAGATTTTCAATATACCTTATAACGAATCTCTCTTGCTTTCTATTGATTTGCTATTACTTGGATTGTCATCCATTTTAAGTTACATTATATCTTTATGATAATACCCCCACTATTCAATATGTATTCATGTAAAGCAATGTCTTCATTTAGTGTGTATCTTTTATTTTACACAGGGACGCCTCATCAGCATCAATGCTGTTTGTTCATGAAGACTCTACAATTAATATTATCCCAGTAATTGACAGGGACCCATCTACACATGGATGGAGAGTTGCAAATTTGGATTAATTTCTTGCCAAACGGTAGTTAGAGTCGTGCTGAGATTCGATCCTATAGCCCTTGGATTGAGAGTGAAGTGAATGAATCACTATACCAGGGGGGTGTTTCACAAAGATCCTAAGTTGAACTTATCTCTAAGTTGGACTTAAAAATTATGGAAAGCCGTTAGCATCTTTGAAAATATTTTGTAATTTTTTTTTTGAAAGGCATAAAATGTTGATTCAAATCATTCATGTTTTCTATTATCAAGGAGATTTCATGTTCTGGATGTGGAATTTATAAAAAGTCTAAAATACTTGAATTTCTGCTTTTGAATATATTTCATTTTTAGGCTCCAATGGCTGTCCATAACTTTTAAGTCCAACTTAGTGTTAAGTTCTACTTAGGATCTTTGTGAAACACCCCCCTGGACATTTTCATTTTCATTTGTCATGATATTTTATTTATGTGAGGGTACTTAGACGGTGTCTTTGTTCCTTTGATATAATATTAAATGCCCTTTATAAATAATTACGAGTCTGTCTAAATCTGAGTTTTACTGCTTTTGCAATTCTTCTTTTGTAATCAAAGCCTATATTATGTGTTCTCAGGACATTTTTATTTTCATTTTGTCATGATATTTGAATACATATTCCTTCTGTGACTAGCAGCTTTGTTTTCATGTTTTTCCCATGAAAGTGGTAAATAAAGTTCAATGCTTTAATGAGATGTATAGGAAAAAGGGATACATTTACTTCTTTTGCCAAATAATATTTGACTATAAGTGTAATGCAGATTTCTACCATTATATAAAGTACTTTGTACGTTGTAGAATAGTTCAAATCTAGGTTAATACGAATACCACAATTTTTCTCTCATAAACAAGTCGAGTGTTGGTAAATGAGAAATAAGATTTGTAAGGTTTACTTCGCGTTATATAAGCCTTGAAGAATATCACAGACACAGAAGGGATGTCCCATGAAAAGGATTGCTTTTCACTGAAGAGCTCCCATAATTTAAATATGACATGAAATAGCTATGATCGTTTTGATCTTTCCAAAACCTCACAGTATGTTTCTATTTTATAAGATTTTGGAATTGAACCTCATGCACAACAAAACCAACATTTTTCAATTGTTTCCAGACATGTCTTTCGTAATGCAATATTATGACCCTCACCTTATTAAAATCTGGTTAAAATCTTGTAAATCATTTCAGATTCGCATCATTACATCAAATAAGATACCCAAGAAGTTTATGAAGGGTAAACTGACGGGCTGGTAGACGCGGTGCAAGGAGTGCGAAGGGGCTTACACTTTTTTCGTCCTTCACGAAAAATTCAGACACATGAAGATTTTTGTTAAATATCATTTAATGTTATTTTGTTTTGTTTGCTTGTTTGTTTTCTTAATAGCATCAAATTCGATCAGAATACCCCCCCCCCCCACCCTTCCCAAACACACACACACACACACACACACACGCACGCATATACACGCACCATTATAAATGATGGGCAACGCCCCTCATGGCTAATTATCAGGGCTTTTTATATAATCTTCAAGAATAAAATCAGAGAATTACCTAGCTTTTTTACAATAAGATAGATAATCATCTAAAATAATTATTTGTTATCAAGCCTACCATTGATTCAATGTTATCATGAAGAAAAAAGTGGGAAGTCATTTCTGATAAAGACTGGGAAACGATTGAAGGGCAAATTAAAAAAAAATCAAATTAAGAAAATGCTTCATTGCTAAATGAAACAACATATCGACATCATACACATTTAAATGAAAACTAGAGTAACTTACCATGGTTTGATTTTCTGCGTAATGGTCCCACTCATAGCCTCCGCTTGCTGGTGGAGGCGGCATTTGAGGATGAGGCCCCGGATGACCAGGGATAAGCCCACTCATCCCTAAGCCGTAGCTAGCCGCCTGGTGATGTCCATGATGAGGCTGATGATGACCACCAAACTCTACCATCCTCTGTTGTTGTGAGTCTGATTCTGTGATCATCTGTTGAAGATGGAGTATATAATTGATGGCTGATCGAAGCGTCTTGACTTTGGAGAGTTTCTTGTTCCTAGGTTCGGTGGGGATCTTTCGTCGTAATCGAATGAAACCGTCATTGACGAGCTGGACGCGACGACGTTCCCTCGCATTCCTCCGCTGTACGAGATGGGGTTCCTTCTCCTTCGGTGCCGTCCGCACGGCCGACGCCTTAGCAACGCTCCCGCCTTTCTCTCCTCCTGGACCGGCCGCTGATGCGGGCTCCGTAGAGTTCGTGTTTCGGGAGACGCTCTTGCGTTTTAGTTTGTGAAGATTGGAATTCGTCTGGGATCTCGTCTTGCATGCCGAAGACGTGTTCGTAGGTTTGCTGATGATGTCGGAAGTAATTTGTGGTATCGATGAGCAGATAGAGATTGACGGTGGATGCTGAACAATAGTAGCCATTTTTAAAAGAAAATTGCTTCCGTACTTGAAAAACGGCAAAGGTTTCAGAAATTAAAGCACTTTTCCTGGTAAAGTTGAGATGGATTTAGAATAAAACCTAACTACAACAAAGTGACGTATGCAAAATGGTATGAAGATATCTTCAGCTAAAGATTTATCTGCAGACTATCTTTGGTCCACAGAGATTGAGGAATATGAATGTCCCATTTCGTTTCTCGAATTATATATGCATATATATCTGTGACGTCAGACCGAGTGAGCAAGTGACGAGCTCTGCCGAGCATGCGCACGTCGACCTTTTCGTATATACCAGAATGTCAATGTCACCACTCACTATCTCTCTCCCTCTCTCTCCCCCTCTCCCTGTCTCCCTCTCTTCCTATCGTCATCTACCTTTCTCTCGCTCTCTCTCTGCCTAGCTGCCTCTCTCTCTCTCTCTCTGTCTCTCTGTATCTCTCTATTCTCCCTTCCATTCCCTCCTTTCTTCCCTCCCTCCCCTCTCTCTCTCTCTCTCTCTCTCTCTCCTCCCTTACCTCGTTTTGTATATTGCTCCCTTATTTTCTCTGGTGCCTGTTTATGCCTGTTGTATTTTTTCTATCAAATCTCTCAATTATTTATAAAAAATCCATCTTTGTTTCTGTGTAGACTTCGTTCCCAGGCTCTGCACTGTCTAATATCTACATGCCCCCATATCTCTCTCACTCTCTCCCATCCTCTCTCTCTCTCTCTCTCTCTCTCTCGCTCTCTCTTTCTCTCTCTTTCTCTCTCTCTCTCTCTCTCTCTCTCATCTCTCTATTAATTTTAATTTCACTTTGTTATGCCGATGTATACGAAGGATGCAGAGACACGCTGTGCAGGCAGTAAAAAAAAACAGGATTCCCCATAATGTACAAACAGTATGATGACTTATTACGTAATTTTTTAATCATTTCTATGGGATTTGCGATAGGGTATTGAAATTGTGATTCAATTGATTTCTCGAAAGTCTGTGCAATCGTGCCGAGCCAATATCATTTTCTGAGTAGCTGTTTTAATCTCTTATCTAAGAGCAGACAGAAATGTCGACGTACTCATGCCGTATCTATAAACCACTAACCATTTACATGTATCTTATTTTTTATTAGATTTCATACCTTATTAATTAAGGGCAGGAAATAATAGCAAATCTTATCAGGATAATCTCGCAGACGACTGCACTGATTATCGGTTGAACTTGACGATCGATATCACTTCGTTTACAAATGATATCACTCGATTCAAAGACGAAATGTTTAACTGACCATAAACGATCATTTCCAATGAGCTGTCAGACCAAAACAACTAAATTACATAGATGAAGACTTATTAGAAAGAATGAATTAATTCAAGTAGGGTGAGAGAAGGTTTCGGGATTTCTTTTTTCTATTACAGGAAAATAAAACCCAATAATAATTGCCCATTTAAATTACCAAACTAATGAAGAGAACTTTTTTAAGGATAGACGGAGGGCAATTAACTCCAGCCTGTGTTTTCTTTCTCCTGGTTTAATGAAGCAGTTCAAAGGATAGTAGAGAATTAACAAATCGGCCTCTTACTGCCCGCTCACCCACTGATATCAGCCCGATGTTACACATCTTGATCTTTCTTCGCCTCAGTGAGGGCTCGCCCTGCCGGAGATGCCGGGGCGCGAGATCGTTGCGCGCCGCCTCGAAGCGTCGCGCTGCACAGGAAACATGGTTATCGATTCTAACCGCCAATAAAAGCACAGTGCTCCTTCCTCCCTCGCGCGCGGAGACAAGAAATTATCAAAGCTGTTAAACCAGCGGCTCTGATAAAAATCTTCCTTCTCACCTCCCCCACCCTCCTCCCCCAACACACACACACATACTCTCTCTCCCTCCTTTTTTTTTCTCTCTCTCTCTCTCTCTAATATCTAACCCATCCCATTATGGCCTCCTATCATTTCCCCTGATTCATTTATTGGGCGACAAATAAACCTACTCCAAACTTTAACCACTCCTCTTTCCCGCATAGCTTTTGTTCTGTCTTGCGAATTTGGCGGAGTTTGGGCTTACACTAAGCCACGGGGCGTTCCTTTATGACCCATTCTCGAAGATGCTCGGTAATAAACTACCCAACGGGAGGCAATCTTATCTTTATCATGAATACACATAAAACGATTTTTCTATTTTATGTTTCTGTCAATCACAACAGTTTTTAAACAAATGTATTATGATTGAAGATGAGATAAGATATTAGTATAGTTACTTTCCTTTGTGTGAAGGTGTGTATTACAAATTCGTGCAAAGGAGACGATGGAAGCGTTTGGTTTTTCCTTCGACCCAAAGTTAATTGACTCTCTACATTTGCCTGATAACTAGACATAATATTGATAGGTCTCGTACATTCAATATTATAAGGAAAAAAAAAGAAATATGTATGTATAAACATATATATATATATAATATGTATATATATATTTTCGTTTAGATATGTTTATTTTATTTTAGCAAGGTGGCATACTTCAGCCAAATGGCTGCTCTTCAGCATAGCTGTGCATATATATATAAGCAATTACAATTTTACAAATAAACATACGTTAGATTAACATATTTTACATACAAAGTTAAATGAAACATACACACACATATATAGACATAATTATAAGTTAGAAGGCGAGAAATTAAAAAAAAGGCCCTAATTTAGAAAAGAAAAAAAGAAACAGAGAAAAGAAAAGAAGAAAGGGAACAGTAAAAGAAAAGAAGAAAACAAATCAGTTGTTTTGTTTGCTGAAGTCAAACATGATATCCTTTTGAAAACATAGTACTAGGTTTACATTTAGTTTCTACTGGCAATTATATATATATATATACATATATATATATATATAATGAAGTTTCTCAAAACCGTAAATAGTGTGCAATGAATTACAAATTTAATAAAAACGTATGAGAGTGAAGGAGGCATGAAGGAAAAGAGAAGCTTCTAAGGTATATGTGGCACACGGTGGAACACAGCGTGTTTATGGTCTTCAACATGTGGAACTCCAAACTTGTTGTAACAGAACGCCGGAAGAATATTTGGTCACCCTTGTGGTTGATTTTTATTTTACTCAGTTTTTTTTTTTTTTTGTTGCTGTAAATTGACTATATGCTGTGCCTTTACCCTTGGCGGTGGTTCATGAAGTTAATTTGACCTCTCTATATGATTTATTCTCTCATATCAAAAATGTTATACAAATATTGCTAAGTGTATGAATATTGTTTATTTTTCTTCATAATAAGTATCAACTTAATTAAATTACGTTTTTTTTTTTTAATATACACAAGACTATGTCATTGTTGTAACTTTCGGAGCCTATGACCTACAAGCATTGCTTTCTCTTTAGGCTCCATCATATTTCTTCCCTTATTCAACTTAGTCTTATGTATCATTCTTTTTTTTTTTTTGTATAAACGCATCCTAAAATGAGTTCAAAATGTAACATGCTATATGTAATGATGTACTATACAACATGTGAGAAATATGAAAATAAACTGAAACTGAAACTGAAACTGAAACTTTCAGATACATGTTGATTCACTTTATGTCTGATGAATTGATAATTTTCAATATAGGCCGACTTCAAAGCGATCTCATCCCATTAGGAAGTATTGTATTGTATTTTGGAAGGGATTTCTTCCCATAAACCCTTTGAGTTGATACAGTTCATCACATGTGCGGGTTGCTAGGACACAGCGTCGGTTGTTACAGGTTTGAGTGCATGAGGGATCAGCTTTTCGGATACATCGAGGCTCGTTTTGTTCATTTGTTGATCTAGAGCTTTACGAGTAAAACACACACATGCGTCCCGCTAAACAATTAAAACCACAACGTTACACATTAGCACCCAATCCAAGCAAATAAAATGTACAATTTACGATCAAACAAAAGTGCGACTGTGAAGAAAGCAATCCAATACATGTAGACGAACGGATGAGCAATGAGATGATTTTGATCCATTTGTAGGGGGGGGGGTAGTATTTTTATGAAATGAAGTACTTTTTAGTTGATTTTGACTTCCCCCTTTTGATAATCTCTTGAAATAGACATTTTGTGCTGCATATATTAAAAAGGGTCTGTAATTAATATAAAAGGTCGGTAATGGGGCTTATATTCGCTCTCTATTTTTCTTAATCTTTCTCTATGTCCTACTCTTTCTATCTTTCCTTCTTTCCCTTTCTCTCTCTCTCTCCCTCTCTCTCTCTCTCTCTCTCTCTCTTGCTTGCTACCCCTCTCCCTCTCTTGTCTATATATCTATTAATATTTCTACATAATTATCTCAATTTCTTTATCTCTCTTTCTCGATTTTTTTTAGGGAGGTGGTTTTGGGGGTTTAATAATCTCTGAATGGTATGATGGGTATATCGTTAAAAATTCTAACCAGACAACAGAGGATCGAACACTGAAAATGTTTACCAAAATACAGTAAAAATGTATTCAAATATTATTATCTTACAACTGAAATCAGAATCTTAGTCTTTAGCGGGCTCCTTCAAAAGACAAGATAATAAAAAACAAAAATACACGTGTTTGCAAGAGGTGCAGTAACACCTTTCACTAAGCAAAGGGAGTTGTTTACCCTTCTCTAAAAAAAAATAGATCCTGGTCAATGGAAAGCTAAACGCAGGGGGTGAAAGTCACAAAAGGTGTTTAATTAAGACACAATTAAATTCCTCTGTGAAAACACACAGTAACAGCTAGCAAGGACGAGAAAACACAATGACAGAATGATCATTTAGAGTTACCACATTTCCGTGGGCATGAACGGACGGTATACGACGCTTCTTTGCAGAAATAGTCTTGTTTTAGTTTTGTCAAAGCAAAAGATATTCGGATGAAATGCTCAGTCTTTCGGAGAGTCACAATTTGACTGAATTACTATGTCGAGGTTTTTTAAAGTTTAAAAGATAAGGATGTTTAGTGCTTTTGCCTCTCAGGAAACGCGCAACCACATGAATAAGAGCAATTTGATGAAACGGGGACGATGTGTTGAGAAAATAATAAGACAGTAAAGAAAATTGAAAACTATATGGTAACAAGGAGTTCTTCGTAGCGACGAAAATGGAGATTCTTTACAAATATTGTACCATGGATTTATGTCATTGCTGATGATGGCATTAGAGTCATGTTTTCATTCCTAAATGAATATCTGTATCAACTTCGGGATGACTGGATAGCCTTGCAGATGTAATGCGTTTCAGAGGAGGATTACAATTGGTTTTGAAACATACAATTGGTTAGATCAAAGCAAGGACAAGAAGAAGGAGGAGAGACTTTGTGAAAAACATTTTTATTTATTCACTGGATCAGGTACGAACTTAAATCTTTAACAAATTAACCAAATGATTTTAATACTGATTAAGTGTTTTATATATATTCCATGATACTGCGTTTCAGGGGGATGTTTCACAAAGACTAAGATCGACTTTAAGTTGGACTTAACTATGACAGGCTGTTTATGCCACTGTTTACTCTCACCTTTATGATCTTTAGATAACGTTTTTCTTTCATTAAGGATTCATCAAAAGATGTAAATTGGTGATCATGATTTGAACGTACTTTAAAGTGACCAATGTCAGTAAATGGTCAGAGCAAAAGGTGGCATGAAAAGCCTGCCATAGTTGAGTCCAACTTAAAATCGATATTAGTCCTTGTGAAACATCCCTCAGGTATGATACATCGATAATAGTTTAACCGAGAACAAATATAAACTAGAATTCATTTGTTTTTACTAAATAAAATAAAAATGGCCGTAGCATGGGCATTGTATCATTTATTATATAACACGACACATGCAATCTGTTGTTTTTTTCTTGGTCAGTAGAATTTAGTTTAGTTGAGTAATTTTAGTGCATTTATATTATTTATAGACATTTTACTGAGGTTATCTTCAATAAAAGATACCTAAGTTGATTTTGAAATATTTTACAAGTATAATCAGTTCTGTTTCCATATCAATTAATATCGAGATACACAGGCACATAGTTATGTTATTATTTGATAATAAAAAAACTGCAGAAATTTCGGAAACTTTCCAATCCTTTTGTGGAGATATATAAACGCTCTTAAAGTACCAAATGCATAACAAAAGCTTTGATTTTAAACGAAAGATCACACATCAATTTGAAATATGTTTGTCCAGTTTATTCTCTATTTTATTGGAACTATAAAGGATATTAACGTTGGTAATTGTATTTTCTTTTTCCATTCTTTTCCAGATGGCTAAGTTATTTCGATAATTCATCCATTCTCTAGGACTGACATAGTTTGCAGCAGACCTTTTTCTTCTTAACCCATTGGTTCCGGGAACCTGGTGCCCCTGTAGTAAGCCTATGGCAATAAATTGTTCAGTAGTCAATGGGTTAAATTTGTTTCTTCATGCTGTTATCTCTGAGGATGATGAAGAAGGATTGACACGATGAAAAGGAGCAACGAAGACGCACGATCCAGTCAAATCTTCTTCACGGCACGAGTCAAGAACAAACGCGAGAACACCAAACTGAAGTATGAGATAAAGCAACTCGAACGCGAATTTGGACACACAGTATTCTCCATCCATAAGGATATTCGCGATCTTAAAGCCGAACTCAAGATCACGAAACGAAGCAGCGGCCACAGCGCCGAAGGTTGGTTCGTGGAGGATGCCGAAGATGCCGGAACGATGGTTAACCATAGATCGCGACCGACGAAGAGTGCCGGTGGTGCCCGATGTCGTACGAATGCCCTCGGCCATCAGCGGAAGCAGACACGAGTGTCTTCGGCTCCAGCGGTCGGGAATTCTCGGGACATTTCGATGGGACGGAGGTTGACAAAGACACCCGAGCGTAGCGTTCGGCAAGACAACCAAACCGTATCTAATTCCATGCGTGTATCGAAAGGTAAAGCTTTAATCACAAAGAATCATGGAATGAGGACTTCAGCGACGAAAATTGTGCCAGCTATAGAGACTGATACAATAGATGCTTCTTTACGTATGGATGAGGAGAAAGACAAACGAAAGCCTGCTAAAAATAAAAACAAATCTACTGACATTGATGGAGATTTTGCCAAAGAAACAGAACGTTCTGAAGAGAATTCAAGGACCGCTTTAAAACTCGTCAAAAAGAATAGCTTTCTAAATCCTATCATAAAGCCAACTTTAGATGTTACAGATAAAATGATCAGTGATACGAATCACGTCCATAATGCGGAGCAGTATTTGTCCGTGAATAAATCGGAAGAGCGTCCTCTATCCCCGATGATGACGACATTAGTGAAAGACCGTTGGTTGAAGCCCACGTTAAAAACGACGATTGAAAAAGATGACGTCGTTGACAGACCGAAGAAGACCGTTCGCATTGCTCCCAATTCATCTCATGTTCATGGGAGCAATAGAAGTAATGTGATGGGTAATACTCAGCCAGTGAATCCTGGAAATAAAAAGACTGTGGTGCTACAAAAGGCCGTTAAATCTGCGACATTTTTGACAGAGTCGCGATTGCCCACTGTGGATCCAATGCATTCTACAAATTCGATGATGAGTTTGAGTAGTGGGTTGGCGGGAAATTCGAAAGATGAGCGGGCCAAGAAATCTGGAAATGTAATTCCTGATATTCGCAGAAAGGTGCTGTCTACGGAACAAGTTAAGATGAAAAGAAAACGCGACAATTTGCTGGCAAGCTCGGTATCTGCTCTTCTCGCCGGAAAATCCTTTGTGCAAAAAAACGCAGAGGGGACCAGCGAAAGTGGGAAAGAGGGGGAAATCGAAAGTAGACCGGGATCTGGAACAGAAAGGGGAAGATCACCCTCTCCAAAACAGCGCAGACGATTCAGTTTTGGAACGATCACAATGCTCGCAATGAATCAACATCGAGCCTTCCCTGTTGAAAAGAAAGCGACATTAGGGAGCCGATTAAAGCTCAAAACACCAGCGGAAGAGTCAGAACAGAGAAATATCGATATTCGAAAAAGTGTTTTGGTAAACGATTCAGATTCAGACGATGACAATCACAAAAAAGACTACGCCGTACCAGCGAAACCGGTGATCGATCTAAAGAATGTGAAATCAAAGATATCGAATCAGTGGAACCAGGACGCTGCGTTAGAGAAGCCACCGACTTTGGCAGACGACACTTTTCAGCTCCAACGATCGCTGGCCGCTGCGCATATATCAAGAGGGCGCGATCTTCGAGATATGCAAGACGATAATGAGGTCGATCCAATGAAGGTTATTGATGACGATCGTAAATCGAATCTTGGAATGAAATTGAAAGCGTTCAATAATCTGTTATTGGGAGGTAATAAGGAGGAAAAGAGGAGGAAAAGTGTGATGGATGCGATACACGCGGGATCTGACGGAAAGCAAATCCTGAAACTGATGCGATTAGCCAACCAAAATTAACAATATTTTAACCTATATATTATATTTAAGCCACGACCTTAATATTAAAAGCTACATTTATATTGCATACGCATCCTCCCAGGGGATGCTTAAGTTACCGACATGGTAGTAGTTCCCTTTCCAGCCCAGCAGTCTTTAGGCATTAAAAGCATTCAAGGAATAGATTCATAACATGTACCTATTTACGACACCTGTGTGGAGAGTAGCACATGTAGATTAATGTCTTGCCAAAGGACATAGGCGCCGGGGCGGGACTCGAACCGCGAGCCGTTTAATCCACAGCCCGGGGCGTATCCACTATACCCCGAAACCTTATCAATGTCAATGTCAACTATTGATCTTGTGTTATAATATAATGGCTAAGAAGCACATTAACTTACCCGCTAAACTCAACTAGGAGGCATCGAGCCATAGTGGTTCACTCACTTGACTTGTAATCCAATGGTTAAAGATAAACTCCAGTACTGGTAAAAAAAAAAAAAAAATTCTCACAGAATCAAACGAAACTTACACTGAATGTTCAAGATTACAAATAAATAACATGTGCCAAACAATTTTGGAAGAAAATGTATACTGGCTGAGTAATGAGCATAGAAAGACAAGGAAATCAAGGTAGTACTAGCCCCGACACCATGTGTGTTGTCCCATATATAGCTTTCTATGTGAGTGCTTGTTACTTTACCAAGACTCGGTCAAATTTATTATGATTTTGATGATTCCAGAACCTTGCAGTATACACAAATTCTTATATGCTAGATGATCAACCCTTTCTGGTCAATTCCACAACGTTTCTTTCACAATGCAATCGCATGACCAGAACTCAACTTCATCCTTAAGGGTTCGAATCTCAAGCCCGACACCAACGTATTTTGGCAAGAGATCAGTCCACAATTGCCACAGTTATTCCAGGTGCAAGTGGTTACCTGGTAATTTCTAGCGTAATAATAATTGTAGGGCCGCAGGAACAGAAGTAGATGTGACATCACTGGGTGAATTAGCGATGAAAAATACCCAATTATTATTGTTAATAGTAGTAGTAGTAGTAGTAGTAGTAGTAGTAGTAGTAGTAGTAGTAGTAGTAGGGGTACTAGTAGTAGAGTTAATAATAATAATAGTAGTAGTAATAGAAGTTGTAGTAGTAGTAGTTGTTGTAGTAGTAGTAGTAGTAGTAGTAGTAGTATTAGTAGTAGTAGTAGTAGTAGTAGTAGTAGTAGTAGTAGTAGTAGTAGTAGTAGTAGTAGTAGTAGTAGTAGTAGAAGTAGTAGAAGTAGTAGAAGAAGTACTAGCAGTAGTATCTAGTCAAGAGATATCGTTAAGGCTTTTGTTCATTTTCCGAGTGCGTAATAAACAACTTATCATTGCATGGCTTGCGGTGATTAGACGAGTTCTTAAGTTTCCAATATAGCTTGCTTTTCCTTACAATATTATTGAGGATCCACAAGCCCAATTCTGTCCGTTTCGTAGCCTGTCCGCTTACTGGTTTAGGTCGTTCGTCAGATAAATATCAAAAAAATAATGAAGCAAACACAATTTATGTAACACCATTTCATCTGTATATACGATTAAAAATAATTTAATAATTTTGTAACGAATGCGATTTGGTTACCATTTTAGGGGGATGGCTTTGTTAGAATGATGCACACTATGTCTTAAATGTATGTATTCTGTTTGTGGAAACTAAAAATACGTTTTGAAAGGGAAAATGAGAAATGTAATACAGGAATCCCAGTGAAAAAAAAAATATGTGAACTTGGGCTATGGTAAGGTTGAAAATAATGATCCGACTGTTGAGACGACTTACTATAATTGTATTTTTAATTGGTAAATAGCTAGTATTCATGGCCCCGTCTTAATCATGCAGAGTTGCGATTGAGCCAAACCGATTGGAAGTCCCCTAATCAATCGCAAAGTTAAGATCCCCTGTCTCTCGCGCGCAGAAACACAATTGATATTAGTAATAATCTTGATGAGGTAGGCAATCAGTTGTTTGTTTAGGGAAAAAACATCTTACATTGAAACATAGGAGTCCTTCTGTCGGTTATATATATATATATATATATATATATATATATATATATATATATATATATTCACAACTGCGGTTCTAAGTACAGCATCACATGTTCAACGTAGACGGCGCTCATCATTTTCGTTTAAATGAGTCCATCCATTTCAGCAGAACATGACGATATGTTTTAAAAGCCATCACTGCTTTGCATCGAATACCAGATTGAGAAAATACGACCACTTCTTACTATCGCGTCATCTCCATTACTATGTTCCATCTAACTTAGGCTAACTAAAGGGTATGACATTTGACGTAATTAAGTGCAATTGATGTTTTTGTGTAAATGACAGTCTTTGTTTGCATGATTTTTTTTAATAAAGTACATGTCGATATAAGTATGCTTTCAGACAAATTGTAATTTGTACATATTTTTTAGAATCAAAATATATTCTCAAAATTAATGAATATCATGAAAACTAAATAATTCAGTTTTTTAAGAAATCTTGACTGATTTACTCTGATATTTTTCATTTACCTAACATGCCTTTCAAAAACGGGAGTTACAATAATTTGGTCTTCCTTCTAATTTTAAAACACAATGCCCATCCAAGAGAGAGGACACATATTTTTGTATTTATATCACACACGAAAAGATTGATGGACATACATGTATAGTCATATACACAAATTAGAACAATATAACATGACATTGGCGAGTTGTACAACACAAAACATAATTTACAACAATGTTTCAAACCCAATGTGCAGTTCTGTATGCCATACCCTTCCCCTCCCACCCCCTCCCACCCCCCCCCCCCAACCACACACACAAAAAAGGTGACAATGGTGATGAGAAGGAGGAGGAGGATGATGAAGATTATGAGAATATTACCTATGATGATGATGTCGATGTTGACGGTGATGAGGATTTGGATGATGACGATGATGACGAAGATGATGATGAGGATGAGGATGACGGCGATTAGGATTTGGATGATGACGATGATTATGATGACGATGATGATAATGAGGATGAGGATGACGGTGATGACGATTAGGATGATGACGATGATGATGATGCGAATGAGGATGATGACGTTGATGATGGTGATGATGATGATGATGATGATGTCTGATTTCTAATATTAATTTGGTCTAAATATGCAAGTGGTCTTTGTGTACAGATTTCTGTAATTCATGTATCAATGGCAAAGTCTTTTCAATGGAAATTTTTTTTTAAATGCAGTCTTTATGGACAGGTGGTCTATCTATACAGGTGGTCACTAAAGCAGGTTTCACTGTGTGTGATTTAATGATGCAAGAGGCAATAATAATACATTTCAAAAGTAATACAATTCGTGTTATTTTATAAAGTGTTATTGGTTAATACATTCGGATCATTCATATAGCTGCGTGGCATGAAATACGAATTAAATACTTATTACTTTAAATGCACACATTTTGTTTTGGAGCATTTTCAGGAATACTCTATTTCTATCATCTGTCAAAAAAGTAATCCTTTCAGCCCTTTTTCAATTATTGATAATGAAAAGATGAAATGCAAATGTCTAGAAAAGGAAAATTTTAAACATCACTCTGGCAGGCATGTCGTCATCTTGAAGCAACTCGAATCAATAAGTTCTGTTTTTAAGTTTAGTTTTAAATTTTGTGGAGTAAAATTTCTTATACTTGCGTACAGTGGTAACAATGTGGTTGGTTGTGTGTCTGCTTGACAAAACAAAATGTGCCGTCGTTGACTTGTCGATGAATCCCTCCCTGAAACAGAGTTTGCCGTATCCCTTCTTCTTTTTTTAAAATTATCATTACAATTTGTTTGGGTGAAAGACAGTTTGAAAGAGCGCCCTCATTCAGACATTTTTGTCCGGTAATATGTTTGTCCGATACCCATTCAGTGTTTTCTTCTTTTATTTTTTTTTTGTTGCTTTCTTACTCTCTCTCTCTCTCTCTCTCTAATCGTATTATTACTGACAGTTTGTATGAGATATTTCCGTGGTCTTAGACGCGGTCATCACTACCAATATCTAGACATATCACAAAGTGAGTCCATTAACATGTTAGGGTTCAAACCTAATACCACCGATCACTGCTCTCCAAATCCGCTACTAGAAACCCTGTATCAATAAGTGAGCGTTTAAAAAGTATATGTGAGTTATTTCCTTATAAAAGGAACCAACGAAAATTTGAAATGATAATACTTATAATAATGATGATAATAATAATAATAATATTGATGATGATAATAATAATGATGATAAATAGAGTTGTAACTGATATAAAAGACCAACATCATTAGATCAATAAATTAATAGAACAACTGATAACAACCAATCATGGTTTGGTCGTTTGAGGCTCGTTTCGATATGACAAGGTAAACCACTCCCCCTGCCTCCCCCCCCCCCCCCCCTTCCCTTGGCAATTGGGTTCAACAATGGTCATACGGTTCTTAAAGGTATTACAAAGTTTTGGAAAATTTTGAAAAATGGGTGGATAGTGATTCTTAACAAGTTTGATATATTTGGATGCCCCTGTGGATGTATTAAAAACACCAGAAATTTTAGCCCCTAAAACACTTCTGCTTTTGAGAAATATTGAATATAAAGATTTACCGGTGCTCCCGGTAAATTTTGATAAAATTCAAATAGCTCCTACGGCCGTACAATGGTAGCTGCGACCATGAAAATCTCAGAGTATGTAGATTTGGTATATAATTTCCGAACAAGAATAGCTAATCGGTCGATTTAAGTCAATACACATTGTTTTATACCTTAATTAAGACCTTGACCTTGAGAGGGAGCTATTCAACATAAAGTGTTTATTATTTACAATTTCATAACTTTAAAGTCGATTTCGACCGCGACAACGATCACTTAATATTGTAAGATCGTATATGCTTCCAATATGTTCATTTGAACCAAATTCATGACCCCATACCAAAACTTTGTATTACCTTTAAAGATAAAGACCATTTCTGGTCATGCGATTGCATTGTGAAAGAAACGTTGTGGAATCGATCAGAAAAGGTTTGTAGTGACTTGACCTAAGAAGAGCTTTGCGTTTGTAAATATAATTGTCTTGTGTTTATTGTGTGGCTTGAAGTCTGGCCGGACGGGCCCGGAAAGGAAAGGAAAAGGAAAGGAAAAGGAAAGGAAAGGAAAGGAAAGGAAAAGGAAAGGAAATGAAAGGAAAGGGAAGAAAGAAGGGTTATAAACCGGCAAAAAACAAAACAAAAATCCTGCAAAATGCGAGACCACGTTTACTACCTACATTTAGCGAATTTAATTCTGGAAATAAGCGCGAAAAAATAGCAAATCCGAAAAGTAAAAACACGGAGCCATCATTAGGCATGACGGCAAAGCTCCGAATTCGGCAGTTCGCGAATTCATGGAATCAGTTCTGTAAAAGCGGTCGTAAAGCCTAATTTGTTCAGAAAATTATACACTTTTATCGCCAGAATCTGGGTAAAAACACTCCAGTCAGTTGTACAGGTGCACAGAAGACGAACTGCATGTCAGTCTAAAATTTTCTTTTTCAATCTGCGCATGATATTTATTACCGGTATATGTAAATTATGCCGAACAAAATTAGTCTCATGTTCATTGTCTATTAGTGTCACAGATGGGTTGTTACTTTTAGATTTGCACAACGACAACGTGGATTGCTACGATCGACGTCCTTTTAATGCACTGCCTTGAATGGATGTCACACGTATCAGTCCACGCAAATCTAAAAGTCCCTATTGTTACAATACATGTATATGGACAGATTGGATAGATGTGTAAAATCATTACAATTATAATCGGTATACGATTAACGATGCGAAAGGGATTCTTCTCCAGCTTCCTGCAGGAAGTCAGGGACGCAAAAAATTACTTACCGCTTTGCATAATTTGTGCGTGAGATTTATTTTTTCTTATAAGTGCCCCTTTTCATCTTCGATGAGTGCATGCCCTTATTCAAATTTTGAGAGGTGCCCCTTTAACTCTTTAATAAGTGCCCATTTTCATCTCCGATTAGTGCCATTTTCCTTCTGATAATTGCATTTTTCCGTTGTCATAAGTGCCAATTTTCATCTCTGGTGAGTGCCCCTGATTAAGTGCGAGGAGTGCCCCATTTTCACATCTGGTAATTCCCCTTTTTACTTTGACATGTGCTCTTTTTCTTTTCAAATAAGTGTCCTTTTCTTCTTTGGATATGTGCCCCCTTTTCATTTCCCCATAAAAAGTGCTCCTAATTTAAGGCGATTAAGAGGAACTTTTTCTTTAATTTTACCCAAATGTGGCTCGCTACGCTCGCTCGTATTTAAAGCTAATATAATTATGTTTCTTATTAAAGATCTTTTTGGTCGTTCATGATAAGATTGTGCTTAAAACCCCATCAAGATTGTTTTTCCCTCTTTATAAGATGTAATTTTTTGCACTGCGACCTCACAAATCTCCCCCCAAAAATATAACTATCACAACCAACTACAAAGTACATTCCCGGAAAGTGCCCTTTACTGTTGGTGCCCCCCCCCCCCCCACTTTGAATGGCGCTCTTTCGCCCCTGGCCTGCTAAAAAAACGAGCTTCCGGGGGCTCCGCCCCTGGACCCCCCGCCAATTTACGCTTCGCTCGCTACGCTCTACCTGATCATAAATACTTTAGCCCGCCCACCCCCCCCCCTTCTTTAAAAAAAAACGTTTCCCGGGGCCTGATGTAAGGTGTTTAAAGCTGAAGCCCGACTCCAGTGATTGCTGTCTGCCCATCCAAACTGATGAACTAGTCTTGTACTGACTGATTTCGACCATCAAGTGATACCTGAGGTATTAGGAATCTGTACCGTGACAATTATATGGTTGTCAACATTGTTGCAATTTAAAATCTTGTTTAGAAGTGAAATGATATACTCTATGGACTATTGATCTTGTTGAGGGAATCATTACTGTGTTTAGTTTACATGTATCAATATGAAACACTTACACCTAGAGGTACCGGTGTCATGAATACCAATGTCCTTTTGTTACACTGGTGTACTATATCAATGCGGACTGCACACATAGTCCTGCTTCGTGTGTTTACAGTCTTTTCCTCCTATCATAAATTTCTGCTGGAAAAGTCACAGATTTTAAATGATATCCTGGCAAAAAGTATACATCAAATCGCACGAATTGAGTTTACAAATTCGATTTTTCTTCAGCTTCTCATCGGGGCACATCCCTCCCCCCCCCCCTGTCCGCGCAAGCGCGGAACGCGGTGCTTAATATTTTCTCACGAATTGAGCCCCCCCCCCCCCCCCCCCCCCCCTTGCCGCCGGCTGGATCCGCCCCTGCATACATTCAAAGCGTATTAGACTTTACGTCATCCAAAAAAGACGCCTTGGTTTTCCCGCGTCATATGTAAACAAGGAATTCTTCTTCTCATCGAGTCACTCACTGCACAAGCCCGGTAAAGTAGAGGACACATGATTAACCCATTGTCTACTGGAACCTGGGGGTCCCTGTGTTAAGCCTATGGGAATTAGATAATTCAGTAGCCAACGGGTTAAGTTACATCATCCACCATCAAAAGCTCATTTGATTTTCAAAAAGGGCAGAAGTTTTTGTAGTAAAAAATCATAAGGAGAAACATTATGATTTGGGAGAATGGAACCGTCTATTGCATCGGAATTACTGAACTAATTTATATTTGACGTGGGCTTTAGACGGTAACATTTCCAAAACTTTCAACTGTACTTTCTCAATGTAGAGAAAAAGACGTTAACGGGAAATCATTTATTAATTTCTAACATTGTCAACTCTACCACTGTGGCTAAATGTATTTCAGTATACAGAGTTGGGTCAATATTTTGACACGTTAGACACGTAAGTTTGTTTGGTACACCTAAAGCAAATATAAAGTAAATCTTTCCGAACAGAATGACGGAGTTCAATAATTTGTTGGGCTAGTTGTAGAGAGATATGCCATAAAGTCTCTTTTACTTCGTGAATTTTATTTCGTCACAAACTGAATAACAAAGAGAGTATAATTCATGGCGTGTACACACGCACAATTGTATGCCCTTCTGTATTTGAAGCGGTGGCAAAAACAGGCGCCACATAATCAAAAGGGGGAATCCCCCAAAAAAACTAACCCTTAGAATACCAGGCAGAAAATTAAGTACGGTATTTACGTGCAGGGTCTGTATAAAAGTGATCGAATGGCATTGTATGGGTGAGCATCAAAAAATTGTGCATGGAATCACATCCAATCATGCAGAAAAAAACTCATTTGATCTACAATAGACTTGAAAGATGTTTTGCACTCTTTCCAAACAATGTGCATATTTTCCTTTCATGATGGGATCATAGATAACAGAGTACAGTAACCCTTTACTGTGTTGCAACATATATAATGTAAGCGGGAAATAATCAAGTCTACAAGGCTGAAGCTGAATATATATGTGTTTGGCAAGAGAAAAGACGTGTTTTGTTCAGACCAGGTCAAAATTCAAAATCCCTTGCAAAATTTCTCATTTACGTCCGAGGGGGGGGGGGGGGCGTTTTGATCCCTTCTTGGATTTATATTTCATATCATTCTGTCTCTTCATTCGATGTTTAACTATGCATCGTGGTAAATATGAATATATATTGACACATTCATGCTTAATGCAACGAAGCAGGTAAACGTTCCCAGGCGACCTAGGCTGTAACTGAGAATTAATGTCTAACCCAAGGGCACTACATCACGTTGACTTCTTTTCAACCGGGACTTTTAAAAAGAAGACTTCCTAAAAAATTATTTTGAGAAGACATGCACTATCCATGGACTAAAATGCAACGGATAAATACTGTCGACTGGAAATAATTCACCATCATCATCTTCACTTCCAATACCGTGACCACCATAATCATTAAATAAATGCACACATCATCGTTGTCGTTGTCGACGTCATCGTTGTTATCACAATTGCGATTATCTTCTGTTGGAGTTTTGTTCCAACCTTCACCGCATTATCATTAACACAAATAGTGTCACTGTCAGCGATAATATACTTTTTTTCATGAGTAGTTAAACAATTTATTAACTTATAGGAAACAGCGTCCTCCAGGCATAGTTGGTATTTTAATTATTTTGTAGTAAATTAGGGGTCGAATTTATGCTTCTTTATTTCGAATTATGTCATAAAACATGTTAAACGTGGACTGTTACTCCTTCGTTGGGCAAGACTATTTCACTCCTTGAAAATATGTATACGTAGTTTCATCTGAATGTATGTCTCATTGAAGAGACGAACAGAACAAACGTATCCACCCTTCATTTTCAGATGAGAGAAAATGGTGCTAAGGTAGTGACTTCAGTGCTAGATGTACAATTAAAGATAATCTGAAGGTTTGAGTGAAAAACAGACCATTCTTAATGATACAAATTGGGAAAAACTGATCTGATTGATTCCTTAATTCTCCCAACTATGTTATTACAATTCAATTACATTTTAGGTGAATGTAAATCTTAACAGTGCAATGAATTGGCTCTATATACCATTCCAGACATCAAAGTGTTGAAAGATTTGTTAAAGCCTGTCTTATTTCTTTTTTTCAATGGGAAAACGGTTGGGAAAATTCAAAAATGGTTAGGGGAATTTACTGTTAGAGGGTGTTGCACAGTGACGCCTTCAAAGAAAACCATAGAAATCTTTGTGGTTTGAGAATTCTTTCAGGATTTTTTGCATGTTAGAGGGTTAGTACAGTAGAAGGAATATAATAAGTAAAATTTCATACAAAAATTACGCAGTTTCTTCATCAACCTTCAACAATGTTACCGAGTCACTTTAAGAGTGAAAGGGAAGGGGGATTTTAAAAAACGCACTCGCTTTATACTTAATGGAATGTTGATGATTGCCCAAAAAATAGTAAAATAAAAAAGGAGCAAAGAGCAAGACTAACAGTAAAATGGGAATAACAGATATTTGAATTACGAGTTAGTTCACTGCACAGGACTTTGGACCTTGTTGAAAAGGAACAAAATAACAACTGCATATTGCGAGAAAAAAAAGAACCCAGTGTGGTGTGTGCTTATGATTGTTACATGCAGAATGCGACGGGACTATCTGCTACAAACGATTTAGATTCTTAACCGTAACATTTCGAAGTCGAGCGTTGAGAGAGAAGTAGACGATTACAAGGGGCTCAGCTAGATTAGGATGTCTGGTAAACCGGTGCTCCTTCAAGTATGGAGGACATAAATCAACAGCTTCATGAGGCAGCAAGAAGGGGTAAAATCAAAAGCATAAAAAAACTGCTAAAAAAGGGTGCCGACATAAACCAGACAGACCAAGATGGAAATACACCCTTACACATGGCGGTCCAGTATGGCCAAGAGAATGTCATCGAGTATCTCATAAATTACGGAGCTGATGTGGAGAAGGCGACTCCAGATGGACAAACACCCTTGCATATTGCTGCAGCACTTGAACGTCTTCAGGCAACGAAAGTTATACTCAGTCACGGAGCTGAGGTCAATAAGGAAAAGGATGATGGTTGGACTGCATTACACGGTGCTGCTCAGAATGGTAATATTGATGTCACCAAATTTCTCATCAGTCAAGGAGCTGAGGTCAATAAAGGAAAGGATGACGGTAAGACTGCATTACACAGTGCTGCTCAGAATGGTCATGTTGATGTCACCAAATATCTCATCAGTCGAGGAGCTGAGGTCAACAAGGGAGAGGATAATGGCTGGACTGCATTACACAGTGCTGCTCAGAATGGCCATATTGATGTCACCAAATATCTCATCAGTCAAGGAGCTGAGGTCAATAAGGAAAAGGATGATGGTGTGACTGCATTACACAGTGCTGCTTATAATGGTCATATTGATGTCACCAAATATCTCATCAGTCAAGGAGCTGAGGTCAATAAGGGAATGGATGATGGTTGGACTGCATTACACAGTGCTGCTCATAATAGTCATATTGATGTCACCAAATATCTCATCAGTCAAGGAGCTGAGGTCAATAAGGGAAAGGATGATGGTTGGACTGCATTACACAGTGCTGCTCAAAATGGTCATTTTGATGTCACCAAATATCTCATCAGTCAAGGAGCTGAGGTCAATAAAGGAAAGGATGATGATTGGACTGCATTACACAGTGCTGCTCAAAAAGGTCATGATGATGTCACCAAATTTCTCATTAGTCAAGGAGCTGAGGTCAATAAGGGAAATGATGATGGTGTGACTGCATTACACATTGCTGCTTATAATGGTCATATTGATGTCACCAAATATCTCATCAGTCAAGGAGCTGAGGTCAACAAGGGAGAGGATAATGGCTGGACTGCATTACACAGTGCTGCTCAGAATGGCCATATTGATGTCACCAAATATCTCATCAGGCAAGGAGCTGAGGTCAATAAGGGAAAGGATGATGGTTGGACTGCATTACACAGTGCTGCTCAGAATGGTCATGATGATGTCACCAAATTTCTCATCAGTCAAGGAGCTGAGGTCAATAAGGGAAAGGATGATGGTTGGACTGCATTACACAGTGCTGCTAAGAGTGGTCACCTTAATGTCACCAAATATCTCATCAGCCACGGAGCTGAGGTGAATAAGGATGATAAGTACGGTAGTACTGCAGTTCACAGTGCTGTTCAGGAGGGTCATTTTGGTGTCACAAAGTATTTGCTAACGCAAGGTATAAATGTGAATATAGGTGACCGAAATGGCTACACTCCCTTGCACATTGCTGCTATGAATGGTGACCTCGATATTGTTAAGGTCCTGCTTGAGGAAGGAGCCCTAGTTGATGTACAGGATGCCCATGGACAGACCCCAATGCATCTATTTTTAAAGAAAGTAAGTGCCAATTATTCCGTTATCTTAAAAAAGCATGCAAAGGTGTGCAATAAACCCTTCCTCTACATACTGAGGAGCCAAAACAAATAATGCAAAAAGCGTCAAATAACGATTCTAAAAATAAATAATAATAATTGCAAACATATATAGCTAAATTGAGGTTATTTCCAATCCATTTGTTTCTGGGCTTAAATGTGACCAAAATCAGTTTCCACAAGGTGTAGGCTAATAACAAATCATGAAAGTGTTCTTGATAATCATTTGGCCTTTAAAAGCAACTTGAAAGTCTACGTTATGCTGCTAGTGCTCCATCAAAAAGAATACGCTTAAACTGTAAAATTCACACATACTTTTTTGTTTATATAGATCAATGGGATTCTCGATCACCGTGATGATGAAGCATTGACTGCTATTTACCTCGCCACTCAAAATGGCTACACACAGGTTGTCGAATCGCTGGTTTCCTATGGAGCTTCCTTGAACATCCAGTCGCACGATGGAAAGACCTGTCTTCATGAAGCTATCATACTTTCTGATCACACGAGCAGAAAAGAGCAAACAAAAGCGAGACACCAACAGGTAAAGACGACTTAAAACTCACCTAGCACGGACAACCGCTAAGCTGTTCAGCAAGAAGAAAATAATAGTAATTAAGTTAATGCCATGCCCCTTCCTTAACCTGAGGTTGAATATTGTTCACTTGTGATTTAGAACTTGTCCCTGGACAACGACAGAACAGTCATGTTTGATTGAGTGTACATTTTGCCTGCAAAAAGAACTTAATATTTAGAGATAACATTTGTTGGTAGCCTGGTACCTGCTGTATACCACAAGTGCAAGTCAAGGCTAACGGCTCCAATGAAAACCCTTTCTATCCGTTGAGAAAAAGATTCCATAATTACTAGGCCTACATCCGATACACCGATATCATGCTTATAGGGGATTGAATTATCGGTGTAACTGGATAATATCATTTATCCTTGAGAAAGGTGTTGATTCCGGAGACCAAATTAGAAAGGAAATGTTACATCCCTTTGTTCGGATGCTCCTATATTTCAACAGAGGATAGTTACCCATTGACGCTCCCCCCCCCCCCCCCCCCCCCTACATGTATCGACAACCGCCCCGTGCCCTATATGGTGTCATACGGTGTCATGAAAGCTTCAGTGGACACAGATCTTTTTAAAGTTTGATGACAATAGCATTCACCCTTTTCCATCCTTGTATTGGTTAACGAACGAGAGCACGAGAATCTGGCCAGCAAGTCTATCAATCAAGATGAATGGAAGATATATCGAAGTTATTAGGTAGATTGTTAGGTTGATGGTGTTTTTAGAAGCGTTTCGATGAGAAAAAACGTGTAATTTTATAGATTGGCTGGAATGGTTCCCGTACTTGATTGGTCAACTAAAATATCGATGGAAAAGATAAATGTCTTTACCATCAAACATTTAAATGACCTGTTTATAAACATACACACACACATATATATAAACTATCTCTGATTCGTTTTGTTTTTGTATTTGATAACCTATATTGATACACCTGGTATGTTGACTCAGATCTCAGAGGACTTCTCTCAGCACGAGCTTTCCCCTGACAAGACTTTGGTTTTATACCTTCTGGAGCACGGCGCAAAGCTGGATATAAAGGACGGTCAAGGCAAACTACCAGTCCACTATGCTAACAATGAAGTTATCCGACAGATTATATTTTCAAGGTAGGGAAATCCTTGTTCACAAACCACGTCTTTTGATGATTAATGGGCCAGTTCAGAGATAATATCTTCGTATGGGTAGATAAAGGTTATTATACCAAATTGTAAAACCCATCGACACGAATGATGGATATATGTTCACGGAAGTCAATATTCATTAAGGCACTGCTGGTACATTTTATGACAGCCTAACACGAAAAGAAGTTCTATTTTAAAAACATGAACAAACAAAACATATTCATGAAGCACTTCCATCCCTTTGGCAGTGATTATTGTAAAATGCATAGAGTGAGACTTGTCCATGTTTCAAAGATCTGTGGATATTTAGGGGTTGTTTGTACATGGGCTATCTTCGAACTGGTCTATACTAGCATTGGCATACTGGGGAACAAAATCGTTGTTCGCTGGCAAAAGCAAAAGTTCATTTGAAAAAAAAACTTGGAATTTGTTATTTGTTTTATGTAATAATTGAATGCTAACAATGCTCGCGCTGAGCGGCGTAATTTTTATGGATCTAACTTGTGGATGTGTGTCAACGAGCGCCCTGTAAGAAGCGGTTAACTTCGGTAAACGTATTGCAAACCTTTTGTTTGACAGCAATTAAGGTAGCGGTTAGTCCCCTGGATGCGTCGGTGTTATTTGTCTGCCTAAATATTACCAAACGAGGCCGTTTCCTAGGGAACTTCTCTTACATTAATTACGATCTCTCAGCTTACCTATGCCGTTCCTAATGAGTAAAAGAAAATTAAATCTCGCTAAAGTTAATGATGTAATGAACCATAGTTAATTTAGCTGTGACTAAAAAAAAAAATTCAAAAACGATATAGTCTCCGAATCTGTAATTGCTAGATAATTATTTTCTTGTTTGGGGCAGGATTGATGAAAGGAAAGGAAATGAAAGGAATTTGGGCAAAGTTTTTAAAAGTCTTTCTTGTAAACGTTAATAAGTTGGCTTTCTGCACACAAAATAATGTGTATCCCTTTATCCATTCTGTTTAATTTTCCTATGTTATTTAATCAATGTCATTATCATTTCTTGGCGACCTTTCTTTTGTATTCGTTTTGTATTTTGAGTTGTTTGCCTAATGGGCCTTTCTGTCATTTGTACACCATTCTACTTGTATAGTTCTGGAAAATAAAGGAACTAATGAACATAATGCATTAGTCGTTTGTTTATTTCGTTCTCAATTAGGTCTGTTTTATTCGTAGTTGGTTGTGTTCCGCCGAGCATCTGGAATGTATTCGTGGTGAAGTCTGTGCATATTATTGCTTCTTCAGAATTTTGGAATTTGTTCAAGTTCATTTCCTCATTGTATTATATTGTGAAGGCTCCCTTTTCACCCTGGATCCTGGGCCCATTGAAACGTCGATTAAACTTTTATAATCTCTATATTCATCTCATGACTGAATATGATGAACAGAAGCTCTTTCATTTTGTACACGATGTGATATTAAATCAAAACCATAAATATTAATAATACCTCTTTTGTTTCCCTCAAAATTATAGGTTACCATCGATAGAGATGATCACAAGATACAGAGGTAATGTAGGATACAGATGGATAACACAACTTTTTTTTTCTCGTGCATTGATTTAACTGTTATATATATTACTCACCCAGTCTTCATTTCGCTGTTAAAGTGCTCTCATACATCTATTAAAACGAGAACTTACCGTTTACATATAAATACGAGTTGATACACAGTATTGCCCTACTGTGAACTTCATACTCATTGGACATGCAAGATTTGTATAGATCTTCTCCGCCTCACACGATAACAGATTTTGTTCCTTGTTTGTATTACTAGCTTTATATTTGATGTTCCCGAGATTCAGTCATTCAATAGTCTCTTAAAATAGAGAAACCCTTCTTTTCCACCAGTAGTTGGTAATCTCTTGATTTCATATTGTACAGCCGAAGAAGCCATACCCTTGGTAACAATGTCTGCTCTTGTCGATAATAGCGGAAAGCAGATAGAACTGGTGGACCTTGGTATAACAATGTCGATCCCACCAGGGGCTGTACAAGAGAGGGGCTCCTGCAAGATAACATTAACCAGTATACAAGATCCACCATGTATTAACAGTCAGGGGGGTGAAGCATTGGCCTGTCTTGGGATCAAATGTGAGCCTCCAAACATGATCTTTCACCAACCTGTTAAGATCAAGATACCACACTCAGCCTTCATCGTCAACCCAGATCAAGTGAAGCCTGACATCGTTTGCCGTTCATGGGATTCAGTGAAGGGTAAGTCAATTTGGTCAGATTGAGGAAATGAAACATTCTTAATACTGGGATATATGGAAAGTGATGTCCCGAGATCCACTTCTAGTTTGTCAGACACAACACATTAAATTACATCCTCAGCATACGATACTATATTTTGTCTACGTTTACTTTCCATGAAACACCAATTGAAAATAATGGTATATTTATTATATCCTTCTCCTTCTCTTTAAGAACAGGTGCATCTATATTGAAAATAAACCCAAAAATATCGTATTTTGGTTGTAGTCTTAGAACGCCTTCAAAGTGATCGCTCGGTTGGTAGTTCACCCTTTAGCCTCTAGGTATTGTGGTCATCCATAACGTAATGATGAACTATCTGCAATGCCTATTTATTTGTGGACATTTTCAAAAGGGGAAGGAGTGAAAGGGGTTTTCGTGCTCTTTAGGATGGTTACTTAAACATTTAAACCATTTAGAACAATTATTCTGGACAATTAAAGACCCCACTATGGATAAAAAATTTGGTGTCAGTTAATTAAGGTGTAACGCTTCAAAGAACAATTCGGCTGCATGGCGAAATAACATTTCTTTACAGCAAATGATGTTTTTTTTTTTATAATTGAAACCAGATCTACCGAGAACATCGAGAAATAGATCATCCAGCTCACCTGACGAACCACCATACTGCAAAGTGTACCATAGACATCTTGAGCTGTACATTGGTCACTGTGCTGAGTGGTGGGTTCTTCTTCCTCTTGAACAGCAGGTGATCCGACACCAACTTATGTGCACTCCATACATCCCAGAAGGCATACAAAGAGGCAAAGAGATTGAAGTTCATCTTCATGTGCATGCCGATCTTCCTGGCATAAATACGGTTTGTACTGTAAACATGTTCTATTAGTAAATTGTTAATTTACAGTTTCTGCTAAAACTACTGCAAATTTCCGGAAGATTATAGGTTTCTTTGTTTTAAAATCTGACTTTCCGGGGTTATTATGTGCATGGCCTCACAGTTTGCTTACACCAGACTTGAAGGGATTTTCTAGAAGTGTGATAAAAATTGCTGTACGCGGTAAAAAATGTTTTTAGACATAATTTCACTAAAAATTAATACTCCGAGCATGGCATGTATGCCAAAGCCTATACAATGCTGGTAATAAGCTGAATTTTCTCGGATAGTACCAGCATAAAGTACGGAATGACATCCTTATGTCTTCAAGAATCATCTATCCGCGTCTATGTTTTATTTCGATATGCTATCTGAGAAAAGTCGGGTGAACTCCCAATTTTCTCCTATCGATGATTATGAATTCTATGGAAATTAAATTGAATTATGATTGTGAAAAAAGTGTTTGTTAGTGAACCCCGGGTATACCCCAATGTTGTCAAGACAAATTTCCATGAGAACCCGAGAAACTTTCCGATTCATTAGGCCCATGTTTTACTTAATTGCTTGTCCTCTTTGCTTCGAAATAGGAAGTTCTACGTGATGAGAAGCATCAGGCGTACCGCGAGGCCCATCGTTCAGTCCCATTTAGCATCATATCTCATTCAGGTGACGTTACAGTGGCACGTGATTGTGAGGGGAAGATCGCAGAAACTAAGGTACGATAATCAGTTTTGTCCTTAAAGAGGAAGTCCACCCTGATATGAAATTGGAATTAATGGAAGCAGAAAATTAAAAAGAATAGGTCAGAGAAAGTTAAGCAAAATGCGATTGAAATGAAGAAGTTATGAATATTTAAATTTACGATCAATCGTACACAAATTGGCGAATATGTGACATATGTTGCGATATCCGTTCTCTGTATTTTCCTTACATAAAATTGCAATCATATGTGGACCCTTAATACAATCATTGCAAATATGTTTAACTACAATCAATGTATAAAACAAATCTTCTCCGGTATCAATATTGCTCTAGTTTTATTTCGTGAAAAAAAGTTAGAGTTTTGAGTGAGGGTTGCAGTAAGTTTTTATGTTAGATTTACGGTAAAGATAAGGGCTGGTTTAATTTTAGTTTTGGGTGCAGTTAAAGTACAACAATAACCTCAAATGTATTTTGTGTATAGATATAATGTATTTTTTTTTTTTTAAACTCCAATTGTTTTACCCGGCCTTCTATTCTTTTGTTGATCATAGGGTTCCGGTGCAGTAGAGGCCAGATTCTATTATGAACTCATTTTCATACGTAACAAGCTATGGGAGCTTACAAAGAGGTCATAAACAATTCGACTTTGATTATTTATTGCTTTGCCTCACTATTTATAAAGGCAAAAAAACTAATTAAACTGAGATTTGAACCCTCACGTCAACTCCAAAGTTCTATTAGTAACACGCTGTCCTTACCGATTGAGCTGACGATGATTTGATGCCAGGTTGATTTGTATAATTACTATCACCTTATTAACCACCCTACCGGATTCCACGTGCGCATGCGCTGGTTTCCTTTGCGAGTGCGCATGCGCAGGTTTACCTCGCGAGCTCAATCTGGACTCGCCGTGGTACGAAAAAATAAGACGCGCACGGCTCGGTGGGCTGGCTGAAATAATCCACTCATTGTTTTGTATGGTGTCTTCAACTGTGTTGTATCAGGGGGGAAAGAAACAGGTCCCCTTCGGAGAGACTCTCCACATTTCAGACTTTCAGAAACTCGAGTACACATTTAAAGGTTAATAACGAAAGAATAGAGTCTAATACTTAAGAAAAATGAAGATTCGTTAATTCTAACATATCCCACAAAGTAAAAAAAAATTGTCAATGTTCTCCTAGGCTCCATATTTTTAAATAAATTATTAATTCTTGTAGGTCTGATATATGTTGAAAAGAAGAAGAAAAAGAAACAAAGAGACAACCTCATTACCTAAAAATGATGTAGCAGGGACCAATATTGTCAATTCGAAATTATCGAGGGGGAGGGGTGGAAGGAGAGAGTTTGGGTGTAAAAATGTCAGAGGTAAAAATGCCAGAGGTATTATTATTTTCATATACGCCTGTAATTCTAGTTTTAAATGTCCTGGGGGTAATTTTCCTGAGGTAAATTGTCGTGGGGTAATTGTCCTGGGGTAACTTGTCCAGTGAAGTAATTTACCTGTGAGTAAATATCAGCAGCGATTGCTTGGATTTTTTTTCTCTTGGGGCCAATTGTCCTGAGGGTAATTGTCCGGGCGAGGTAATAGTTCAGGGGGAAGTCCGGGTAAGTCTACAATGTTTTTAAAATGTTTATCTCAATAACATAGAAGAATACCAACTCAGTTATGTTGGAGAGGTTCCAATAAACATGTTTTTGTTAATTTTAAGCATCTTTTAAGGCCCGGTCACACAGGGAGGACGCATGGGGAACGCACGGCCAGCGCATTGGAAATTTGCAATTTGGGCCAGTGCGTTGTCGTTCGCTAGGCGTGCGTCATCATTCGTTACTCGTTCGTCGAGCGCGCTGGACCAACGCTGGACCAGCGCTATGCATGCGTCGTCATTCGCTGTGTGCGTCGGGATTTTTTGAGCATGCTCAAAAACGTGCGCCGAGCTCGACGCATGAGTATACACGCCAAAGGCACGCCAGACATGCGCCGGAGCGCGCTAGACCAGCGCCAGACATGCGTGGAGCGCGCTAGACCAGCGCCAGACAAACGCGGAGCACACGCCCTGTATACGTACAGTGCGCTAGCTACACGCCGTGCATTTTGTGTCAGCTCGCTAGCTTTTCCAAAATTATGACAAAAGTTAGGCACACGTTCTTTTCCGATTTCCAATGCGCTGGCCGTGCGTCGTAGAACGCGGTGCATGCGTGGACCATTCGTCCAGCGCGCTAGCAACACGCTGTGCATTCGTGGAAGTTGTTTTCATGTGCGCTCTGTGTGCGCCCTGTGTGCGCCCTGTGTGCGCCCTGTATACGCCCTGTATGCGTCCAGCGCGCTATGCATTTGGTGTCAGCTAGCTGTATAGCTTCGACAAAAGTTGGGCGCACGACAACGCACTGGCCAAAATTGCAAATTTTCCATGCGCCGGCCGTGCGTCCCCCATGCGTCCCCTCTGTGTGACCGGGCCTTTAGACATCTTTCTTTCATTATAATGCTGTAAATCTTTACTGAATTCCTGAAACCCTGAAATCCAGGAAAGAATTCCTAGTAGGACACGTATTAAAATTTTCTCCTGATACAACACACTTGAAGATGCCATACAAAATATTATGACCAATTTCGGCCAGCGCGCCGAGCCGCGCCGCGCTATAGCCCCTCTTTTTTTAGTAAAAGCCGCTTTCTTTGGGCTAACGGATAAAGAGAATGAAGAAAATAAATAATGACATAAAATCACAAACTTGGATACGGAACCTCTTTTCTCGTTACTTTTCGGGTTTTCTTTCTAGAAAGAAAAAAATGTTTCTTTTTCTCTAATTTTCTCGTCCTCTAGCTGCTCTCTCTAAAGGAAATCCACAACCGAATGAGGAATAATGTAGTCTTCAAAGTGCGCCCGAGAGAGGACGAAACTCCATTCGACGTGATAACCATCACAATTACACAGTCTGGAAACCTAGGGGTGTCTCGTTCAATGTCATTCGTCATTAGATACGAAGGTTTGTTTACAATATGTAACTCATCCCGATATGGCAATACAGAGAGATTAACTATTGTTTCTTTTTTTTGTTTTCTTTTTTAGACGAGCAATGAATTAACGTGATATAATGAACGTTATTTTCGTCCACGTCTTTTTTCTGTTACTTTCATAAACTTGACTTAACATGAAAGCATTACTCGGCAAAATGAACGTAATTATCAGTTTCGTATAAATAAAACTTCGCAGGCATAATGTGAAATTCTTTAGTTATTAGGTTTTAGGAGAGTTCCTTATGAAACAAAATAATTTGATCAATTGGGACATACACGCGTTTAGAATTAATTGGTGGACATTACATATTCACCGATATCTATAATTTCGATTCATTTGAATCGCTTTCCTTTGTACATTTACTTGGGACAATGCATTTTTTATAATAATAATGATTTTAAAAATTGTCTTTATTTGTTTACATTTTCTTTTAAATCTCTATCATCGTATTCATGATTGCAGATGAAATCAAGAGTCCTGAATTTACTCCATTTATCCGGTAAGCGTATCGTTATCAATCTATTTACATAATAATGAATTTAAGTTAGATTAAGGTGCGTTACGATATTTTTTCCTCTAAGTTCAATACAATTTAGTCAAAGATATTACGTGAGACAAGGCCTGTTTTCTGAAAGACAAGGTATTCATATTCTTGATTTTGTTTTCCTTTCGTAGGAAGTTTTAATGTAATTTGGAAGATCATAAACATTTTATAAGGCAATAAAATGCAGGAAATGCATAGTAACTAGATTGAAGATACTGTTACATGAATTTGTTTTATAGACAAATCGAAGGAACTTCTCGAAATGATCTCCTTGATAAAGATGTCCAGAAAATCGCTGAAAAGCTTTCGATCGACGACTTTTATGACCTGGGAGTTGCACTTGGTTTCCAAATACAACAACTGGATGCAATAGAGTATAAGAGGCTGAAAGACAGACACGAGGCAATCTGTGAAATGTTGATAACATGGAAACAGAAACAACTACCACATCAAAACGTGAAGGAAGTGCTTCTGTCAATCCTAAAGTCTGCAGAAACAGAGGCAGAAAAGATGAATATGACAGGTTTGACTGTTTTTCATTTAGATTTATCAGCAGATTCTTAACACTCTTAAGCATACCAAACATAATTCCTCAGGACCCAAAATATATAGTACCTAAACTGTGTATAGATCTCTACTAATCTATTGATTTAGTGATACATTGGCCATCGTTTCTATGGGGGGCAGTTTGACGCCAATGATGATCATAGTCAGCATTAGTGTGACGCAATATTTTACTTTATTACAACATTAAAAGTCGCAGGCTTCTATACAAATTAACTTAATTACATTTCTGCGAGATGAAAAAAATGAAAACAACTTCCGCAAAGAAGGAGCAACGGATGAAAGAAGCGAGATCTCCATCTAACTTAAGATGAACTGTTTGGATAATGTTTAGGTTTTAAAGAATTGCAACGTACTATAAAAGCAGAAAATTCCGACTTTAAAGAATAGAATGAAACAAAAAGGTGAAGAAAAAAACGTGAGATATATATAATAATTGGCATAGCAACTGTTATTCTGCGCAATAAAAGTACTGCAACATATAGACTTAAATAGTTAGAATAAATTACGATTATAATGATGGTAATAACTAATAATAATAACAACTTCAACAAATAACAACAACAACTAAAATGATAGTGATATTAACTATTTATAATGATGATGATGAATAATATAACATAAAAGTTATAACGATGATAGAAGTGGTAATTGAAGTAGTGAGAATCATAAAGTGCGAATTTTTATTTATCAAAAATAAATTAGCCAATTATGGAAACAAAAAACATTGTGAATGAATATATTTAATACTATGTTTTCAAATATCTATTATTTTACGGTTTTTCGTTGAATCGTTTGTGATTATGCAGAAGAATCTAATTTAACTATATTTAATTTCTTTTTTAATGCAACAATGACGTCCTTTATATCTGGTCACCGTACTTCAGACATTACTTCAACCGGGTGAGAATCTTTTGGAAAATTAACCCATACCATAAATCTGACCTTAAACCTTACTGCAACCCTAATTAAAACCTCTAACCGTGACATTGTGTGTTTGTTTTGTTTTACAAAATAGTCCCAGGGCAAATGTTGAAGCGCTTAAAGTCAGAACATCAAGAAGGGAGCTTATCAAAGAGGAAGTCCACCTTGATAATTAGCTCGTATTAATAAAAGCCGAAAAATTAGCGAAACAATTTAGTGAGAGCTTGAGCAATATCCGATTGAAAGAGGAAAACAATGTTTCTTTTAATTTGTCACCAGTAATACAAAAATACGCAACATTGTGACGTATAAAGCCTAACTACAACATCTTTGAAGCATTTACTAATACTCACCATTCTGTATAGTTAGTGCAACTAAATCGCCAATTTACAGTTACATGCATATGGTTCTATTAAAAGGGTTTGTTGAGCTTATCTGATTTGTCTGTGCAAATACAAAAAAAGAGAAAATAGAGAGTTACAAGAGGTAATAACGTTAAATCTAAAGTAAACGTCTGCTATATGACGGAAAATAAAATTTCAAACATCTAAACTTGCATTGACCCTTCTGAAATTAGTAATATAAAATACAGTACAAGTGTTTTAAAGCTTAACAAAATTACCAAAAATATAAAAACGTAAAATAAAGGTATCAGTTCGGACCCCGTGTCAAGGGGCTTACGTGTCTCATTGATTTGATTTTCAATTATGCATGGCTTATTTTTTTGTTAATATGTTTTGCTGGTTGAGGCACTCGATCTTTCCTACTGCATGTCAAAACTCCGATTGACAGGATTACAGTTACTGCAAAAAGCAGATCACTAACCATAAGTCAAGATAAGCTTCTATTCTAGTATATTGAACGACATTTTTTCTCAATATATTTAGTGACATTTCTGACCAAGACTTGCTCAAATTGGCTCGACAAATTCAGTGGACGGACTTCATGGACATTGGCACAAAGCTTGGTTTCAGTCGGAATAAGCTTGAGAACATCAAACACAAGACATTGCGGAATCGCAAAGACGCTAACATCCAAATGCTCTGCATGTGGAAGGCATCTCAAAGATCTCTTCCTGAGGCGACTGAGACGTTGAAGGGCATTTGGGAATCTGTCTCCTTGGCATCTACGGCTGAGAATACAGGCAACTGTTCTTATTTATTTTTAATAAATAATAGCTCTATGACTTGTATACATCGTATATTATATAATTGGTTGTTCTAATCGAATGTAGAAAAGAACCAACATCTTAACTGAACTTTGTCTTCAATGGAATCATACGATTGAAATGTTTAGTGGTATTAAAACAATGTGGTTTTGAAGCTTCGGTGGACTATTAGGGCTTATAATGTCATTCGTAGCAGTTATTGTTGATGTGTCAAAAATCTGTCTTACGAGATCAGACGAAATAAAGCGAAGCCATCTCCACACTTACTAAAACATAGGATATAGGAGAAAACAATCAACTTAAAGCAAAGCCTCAGCAGTCATGACTACTATGACTGTCATGACACACATGCTATTCAATATTTATATATTTTTCTTTCAGACGGAAGCTTGCGTATGATCTCTTCGGCGACTCCTGAGAAGAGAGCTAAACCAAGCGAGCCTATAGAGCCTGAAGATATGGATATCATTACAATATCAGAAACAGGTAGATAACAGAAAAATATCATCATATGATTAGGACAATGATAGCATTATATGCACACCCTTTGTATCACACAATCCCAGTTGGCATGATAAATACAAAAATAATTTTAAAAAATCAATATCAAATATACATTTTTATATTAGAAAATTAATCTACTTCCTAATATGTTTTTCATCGTTTGATTTCGTTGCAGAGAGAGATGAAATTAATGATGACATTGACCAATGTGGGGGTACACCAAACACAGAAGAGCTTTGCAACGTCGCTCTACCAGTGAAAAGTCTGCCATTAGTATGTTCACTTGGGAAAGCCCTTCGTCTAAATGATGACCTCATTGTTGGATTCATCGAGCTACCCAGTTTGTCAGTACTCCATAAGATCGCACGACAGCTCGTAGACAGTTGGTGGAATAGTTTGAAAGAGGAAGGAAAAGAAGATAAGTTTGCTAAGCTTCTCTCTGGGTTTAACATCCCAGATGTCAAAACAGGTTTGTTGGAATCACAATGCTGAGTTCAATTGTGATCTTTTTGATAAGGAGATTTGTACTCTTGAAAAGAAAAGTTTCAACCTCAAACTTGTATTTCAGTGTTTTTTTTACACATTTCATTTATTCCATTTATTGCGTTAAATCAACAGGATGAACAAAAGTACATATTATATTTAGTAGGTAAAATTTTTGAATTAACGTGTATTTACAAATCATGGACATTTGTTTTGGGTTTTTTTTTTTACTTGTCCTTAAATTCATCAATGTTTTCCAGTTTATTTCATTTTTTCAGAGTCCTTCAGTGTCCTAATTCACCACCATCATTCTGCTATGTCCATTAAAGTGGATATTTTCCTTCGCATTGACATATGCATTTTTTCAGTGTCCACAGGCCGTGAAGAAATCTCAAAAGCCATTGGATCCAAGACAGACCTACTGGACTTGTGTCATCGTCTGAGTGTTAAACCTTCTAGCGTCTTGCCGATCATGAGCACATTGTTGACCTTCCCGCCTCACGTGATTGGCCGTAGTGCTCTGAAGATGCTTAAAGAGTGGGTACATCAAGGTGGAACTAGGGAGAGGCTTCTCGAAGTTGCTCAGGCTTTCCGTTTCAACGATGCAGCAGTCAAGATAGCAGAAGGTAATGCCAACTCCACTGTGTTACACATCACATTAAATGATGGAGTCCTGCTTGATAAGTTGAAGAAACAAATATTTTACAGTACATTATGTTTACTTATTATTGCCTTATTTTAGATATTTTAGAGAAAAATAATTAAATCGACAGGAGCCTGTGCACCTTAAACTTCTATTCAGAAGGTGTAATCATAAACTGAGTTGCACGACGAGGAAATGCGCAATTGAAATGAAATGATCCCTTTACCAGTTATCATTCAGACCTAAGAAGTGCAGTATACCAACAAATTAACTTGTCTGAATTTTGCAGGAACATCTCAGAGATTTTGCCAATGATTTATATCTTTTAAAACATTGATCATACTTTACTCAATACTGCAGAGTTCTAGGAAAAATAAGTTTGGAAAAGCGAGATTACTATTATTATCATTTTGACTCGAATCAAATCCTGATTAAAGATGATCGTACAATTTGTATTCAAACCGCTCCAAACATACCTTATTGTACCCTTGTTTCCCAATCGCTTTACAGTAATAACAATCAAAAGGGACTGCCTTGGATTAATCGGCACAACTTAATCTTTTCTTAGTTTGATAGGGGATTTTCCATTTTTCGTTTCCTTTTAATTTCAATGGTTCGTTTCCTTTTAACCTCTTTAGCCATAAAATGCCAACCAAGCTATTTGCCTTTCATCTCGCATGGCATCATTGATCACAAGGGTGGAGAACTGACATTTGATGAACTTGGTATTGTCGTATCTATCCCTGAAGGAGCTATACCTAAAGGGATGAGATCAGTTTTAACTCTTCGCGTCCAAACTCATGATACTACTAAGCTTCCTGTACGGGAGGGTGAGGTAGTCATTACTCCAGTCGTAGAAGGTTCTCTGACACAAGAACTGCTCAAGCCTGCCACGGTGGTATTACCACACTGCATCACTCACCATGAACGTAAAGACGACTCTTCTGTTATCTTGTACACAAGAACAGGACCAGGTACAAAGTTATCGACATATATCTATTCTGTTTTCTTGAAATAAAAAGTAAATTTCATAATTTGAAATTTGAATGCTTATAACTTGACAAATGAGGTGAATAACTGATTTCAAATCCCAAATATTATCATCTTCCCGTCATGAAAATCCATTTTTCGAATGATAAGCTGGTGTAAGCTAATATTGAATGATTTCTCAATAATAAAGAAAAAGTACCATTTTGCCATTTGAATCAACTCGCTGAACAGAGTTTGAATTAAGTCAAATATCAGAACATGAGTGGAATTCAATTCCTACTTTACTAATCATCAATATTGCTCAAGCCTATATTATCAGGGAGTAAGAAAATATAATCAATATTTTTAAATCTTTTTTTTTTCTTTAATCCAAAGGAAAGTTCGGTCGTAGGACCTTGACTCCGTCACCAAGCTTAAAAGAAAAGATCAAGTTTCGTACACGTCATCTTCAAGTCTGGGCTCTGGCATCGACTGATCTTCAAGGACTCCAGCTGAGATGTGTAGTCTTCCAGCCTTTGTTCATGACTCCTGCAGAGAAACCAACTCTACGTGTGTACATACTTCATCCATATAGAACCTATATAGAGGTATTTATATCATGTAACCTAAATCTATCTATTACGGATACCATTTGATACTGTAATTATTGAAAGGTGCCCCTGTGGACTATTTAAGCTATGAAAGGCCTTTGGTAACGCTTTAGATTTCACCAAAGAACGTCTTATTACAATTTCGTTCAGACTATCAGACTACAATATCAGAGCATAATTAATATTTTAAAAAGAGGGGAAGGGAAGGGTGAGAAAGTGGTGAGTCTTGGGGAGGAGAAAAAGTAAGGAGGGAGAATGAGTGGGAAGGAAAGTAGAAGGAGGAATGAGATGGATAACTAAACAAAAACGGCGGGAAAGAGGGAGGGATAGGGGTAAGGGAAGGGAGATGATGGAGGTGAGAAGGATGGATGAGGAAGGGGCGGAGGGGAGTACGGATGGAGAAGTAAAGTGGAGGAAGGAGAGGAGGAATGAGATGGGAATGGAGCACAGATATATAAGTGTGTAGAGGAGGGAGGCAGAATAGAGAAAAGGAAGAGATGAGTGTAAAGGCGAGAAGTGGGCGGGAGCTGGTCGAGGAGCGCAAAGTGAATGCAATTTTGTTTCACTAACGTCACTTCGTGAAAACAGCGACGATATGATTGTTCTGGTAAAGGTATTCTTTCGAAAATGCACTGTATACGATTGTAATACACTGTTCCTTTTAATACAACAATATTGCTTGGGTACATAAAAGGGCAACGTTCATAATTCCAGCCTTGCCTATATACCAGAAATTGTAATGATTCTATTCTGCCTACGTAAATGGATACTTTCTGTTTTAATTATAGCTTTGTCTTGGAATACGGGATAAAAGAAAAAAACGTAGTCTGGAGTAGAGGACTACTCAGATAGCATATATTATCAGAATATATGCCAAATGTGTTATTTCATGTGACTATACACATTGCTGTTTGTCCGATTCCAGGATATAATTAAGATGGAGAAGAGTTCTTCTGTACCCTACAGCCAAGTCTCGAAGGAATTCAGGTTCTGTATAGAGTCGACAGCACAGGATCTAAAGATTTTGTTCCACGACGGGATGAAAATTAACAAAAGAATGGTAAATATGTGTAATTCTTATTTCATATGGGAAGTTGAAGAATAATGGTGGAATTAGGTGATGTACATTTTAGAAGCTGAATTTATATTCTTTTACACGCCTACCTAATTTCAGATATACATGTAGTTTTCAAGAAAGGGAATATCTTGACATGATTTTTTTTCAATGAATGCAACAATCACCTACCTCGAAGGTACATTTTGGGAAAATAGTCATTGAATGATCAAACCTCTTCCTTATTTCGAAATTGGATCTCATCAAGTCAAATATATCCACTCTCTCTCTCTCTCTCTCTCTTTCTCGTTTGACTCTCAAATGTCAATTCCGCAAAGAAATTTGAGGACACGCAGGAGATTAAAATAAAAAGACAGGATCTGTGTACTTAGAATTGAGTATGCTTTTCTATGTTTCTAATTTTACATAGACATCGGATTTAGGCGAGTACTGTTAAAAAAATAGACGATATGTTGTTTTTTTCTTATTAGTTTTCATGGTAATAGACAGATCTCTCTCTCCCTCTCTCTCTCTCTCTCTCTCTCTCTCTCTCTTTATTACTTCTTTAACTTGGTAATTACTCTTGTGATTTACTCTTGGCACTTAAGACCTGAATCTACTAGTTGATTCAACATTTCTCATAACAAAGCGAATTAGGAATGTACTTTCAAACAACGCAATCTACGAGAATGATAGGTCCCAGAAATCATACTACAGATTTGTTAAGTTATCACGATAATAGACCGATCTTTTTTCACTTCTACTCCTAAGTAAAAACAAATGTAGCTGGTTAAGATTTACCCTCGGCATGTTAGCCCTGAAACTACTTGTAAAAGAAGCATTTCCTATCGAAAACGAACTCGGACTGTTAACACGCAGGCTGCGTGTAGTGTGTGGATCTTTTCCCCAAAATTATGCTTGTATAATGTATACGGCATACAGCCAATGCGATGCCTATCGACACGCGTGACCGCATCTCAACGTTATACGCGCCAGTGTACCTGTTGGGTGTAAAACTGGTAATTTAACATTTTATCTTATTTGTGTTCATCATCTTTATTATTAAATTATTATTGTTGCGTTTGTTGTTAATGTTATAATGAGTATTTGTATTATTTTTATTATTTCCCTGCAATTCGAACCAAGGTACCCATCAAGGGGATACTTAGTGGAAAGTGCAGCCCTCTGAACTTCGAGCTTCAGTTCTCTCCTAAAGAGAAAGGAAAGAAGAACGTCCATATCGACATACGACAAGGGTCAGCAACACGTGCAGAAAGAGAGTATATCATTTCAAAAGAAGGTAGGCCTATATTAATGGGAAGTAAGATAGTTTGTGTATTTCACTTCATCAAATGTAACTAGTTAGCATTGTTGTAACTAGTAACCTAAGCGAAAATACAAACAGTCGTTTCTATAAATCTTTGTTTTCGCTTCATTCAATAAGAATTACTTAGGTTTAATTATAGGTTTAATCAGGTTGAAGGTTAGCGCATACTAAATGTCCTTTTTTTAAGGATAAGTGGAAAGAGATAAAGAATTATGTAGAAAATACATGTACAATAAATGTCAGACCACTCCTTCTTAGTTTAAGACATCAACAAATAGCTGTGGGTAGACCCGTTCGGATCTAAATTTTGTTTGTAAAAAAAATTCTTCTCGTATTAACCACTACCCCCCCCCCCCCCCCCCCCCCCCCTGCGACGTGAATATTGCATTTTGTGACACTTTTCAAACATTATAAACGAAACCATTGAGTTATGATTATTTTCCCTCTAATCACATCCTTTATACTAAATTTATAGCAATTCCGAATACTGGAATACAAAAACAGATAAACGCCTTAGTCCTATTGTATTACATTATTATGTTTAATGCAGATGAACCGGATTATGCAGTCGATCACACAGATTCGTAAGTAAACGAGTATCTTCATCCATAGATGTATCGCCCAATCTTGTAATAATAAGTAATGCGTGAAATGTAATACATGTTTATCATTACAAAAATACTTGTCAATCTTAGCATCAAAATCATGGTATAGAACTAAATTATAACGGTTTTTTGAGAATGGACATGTAACCAGGCTTATCTTTTCTAACGCTCAGCCCATGACTAGAAAGTTTTAATAACCTGTAATTAGTATGGCTACTGATCGACAACCAACTTTTGTCAGTCGATTCTCGGTCTGTAGATAAGGGTGGTTTATCTAAGGAAATGTACCAACCATCCATAAACTTGTATTTCATTTATTTATATTTTTGGCATTTTTTTCTCAATATGAGTAACAGATGGACATGATGACGTAATTAACCAAATTCGCAGCATTATACATTTCGATATATTTTAAAATATGATTTCCCACCAAGTATCATTATTTACTTACCTACAGGCAGGGGCGACGGCAGTATGTATCCAACAATCTCCTCGAGATCCTGGCAGATATAATCCATACACCAAAGGACTTAAAATGCCTTGGCTACCAACTTGGCTTCTCTTACTCAGCTGTAGAGAAATACAACGACCTACCAGACTTGTCATTTGATAGTGTCTCAAGATTAGGCTTTGGAGAGATGCTTCGTGACTGGAGACGGAGAGTTCGACCTAGTGATCAGTTGGATGAACTTCATCTGGCATTGCAAAATGCTGGATTAGGCCACACAGCTAAGGTTATCCTACCTGAACGTAAGTACCGTACTATATTTTCTCTCCCCCCCCCCCTTGTAAAACTATAGCGTATGATATTTCCTTGACGTCTTGCAGAGTTTGGAACAATAACATATTTTAGAACTCCCTTTACGTATACGTATAGCATATACTTTTACCAGATACGAAGGCACTTTGAAGCAATCTGGTATGTATTTCGAATACTTCCCCATTATTGGTAGTAACCTAATACACACCGAAAGGGGCATAATAAGTTGGGGAAACAAATGTAAGCACTAAGCAAGGATGTAACCTGGAACTTCTCATATGACAGTCCAGAGTCATCAATCTACCAGTGATTCCGTGTATACAAAGGAATGGGAGCTTTAATTTAATCCCGGGCGCCATTTTTCTTTTTGTAAGAACAGCAGCAAGGAATGCTTTGTTCCGTTACCGCCAACATTGACTCGCCCCATACTCGAAATATTGTATTTTATTTGTTCTTTACTCTTTAAATGAACCGTCAGATTGTTTGGATGTTCTTTCTCCTTCACCATTTTCACCATTCCTTTAATTATAACCCTCAATTAAAATTACCTCCGGATAATCCAATTATTGTACTTTCTTTCTTCTTCACTTTTTGTTTTATATGTGAACCGTCATTGAGTAGGACCACGAGATATTATAATTCTTGAATGTTCTTCCTTTCTCCTCTATTTACCTTTCTAAATGAACTATCAATGAGTAGCACATCCCATTTGTTTTCTCTTCTACACAATTTTTATGTTCGTTATCAGTGAGTGGCACTTCTAGGAGGTACTTTGAACAGGTCAGAAAAGCATGGGAGTCGAAGAAGTAGGCGACCTTGTCATTGAAATGTTTATCATCATCCCACGACCAAGAGGGGATTCACTTGAAGTATGCATTCAGCTGAGAAGCTTACATCTTCAGAAACATGTATTCTAAGTCAGCATGATCCTCAGCCTGAATCTCGAAGTTGCTTTTTTTTTTGCTAGCCAATGCTACTGGGAGTCATGTATTTAAGCTACATTTTGATTATCCTTAATGATCAAACGGAAATCCAACCTTGATATCTAAACAATATAAAAGAAAACAGAACAACCAGAGAAGCAGGCTAGTGGAAATCAGACACAAAATGAATAAGTTATGATTATTTGAAATTTATAACCACTATACGTATAGGCACTTCAAAGTGGCTACAAAAAATGCTCTCGAAATACCCTTATATAATTTGGAGGTGACTTAAAATTTCGATTTCGAATTTACGACTATTCGGATACACCCTACAATCGAACAGGCCCAATAACATCTACACAGTCTCTTTTTCAATGCAATGGCATGACCAGTACTCATGTCTCTTCAAGATGTATCGAACTTGGTTTAGTGGTCGTATTGGCTACAATAACATTCGCTTTGTTTGTTTGAAAAGTGTTTCAATTCTATCGCCGCAATAATTATGTGCGTAGCATAACAACTACTAAAATTATTTGCCTTATATCAAAATTGCATGAAGCATGCTTCAGTGTACTTGCTGAAACGATCATTTCGTTAAGACAATTGATAACCCCAATAAACATTGCCTTATTGTAAACTTGTTTCAGTTATATTCTACTACAACTATTACACACACTGTTGCTCATAAAGTTGGATTATTTGTTTTACCCCAATTTATGGAATGATATCGAAAATGATTTATTCCTAATAGATCTAGATAATAGTTTACATTCTCAGATTTTATTGAATAATAATTTGTAAGTGGTTGTTTTGCGTGACTGCTTAATCATATGTATGCTACTATGCTTATCAACTACGGGACCTACGCCCTTAAGTCATAACTGACACTAAATGATGATTAATGCCTCACAAAGGGCAATAATAATAGCACATCGACACGGTTTTAATCCTGGGGCCTCACAGTTACGAGGCCATTACTTTGTCACTGAATCACGACTATACGCAGCGGGTGATAGGGTAGGGGACAACCCCCACAAATATAAAAAACAAAGAAAATTCAATAAATTATCAATAATTTATTGCATTTTTCCCCGGTCCCCAACAGGAAAACGTCCTCATTGTGGTTCAAGGCATGGCCACACAGATATTTTTTTTCTGTTGGGGACCAGGGGAAATATTTTCCTTATTCCACGGCTGTATGAATATTCAATTCTATTGCTAAAATAATCATATACATAAGATTGATATTACAGTGTATATTTTCTTAATACCCAAGGTTGTATGAATATTGTATAGTTCTGTTGCTTTATTATCGCATATGATAATAATTACAGATGATTTGTTGTATATTGTAAGGTTGTATGAATTCTGTTTCAGTTCTATTGCTACAATAATCATATACATAAGATTGATATTACAGTGTATATTTTCTTAATACCCAAGGTTGTATGAATATTGTATAGTTCTGTTGCTTCATTATCTCATATGATAATAATTACAGAAGATATTTTGTTTATTGTAAGGTTGTATGAATATCGTTTCAGTCTTATTGCTACAATAATCATATACATGGTATAGTAAAAGCAGTATATGGATATATATTTTTAATTGAAAGGTTGTATCAATGCTGTTTAAGTCCTATTGCTACAATTATCATTTACATTAGATTGCAAATTACAGAATATTTTCTTTATAGCAAGGTTGTATGAAAACTGTACTAGTTTTCTTGCTACAATAGCATATGCATATGATGATAATTACAGAAGATATCTTCTTTATCGTAAGGTTGTATGAATACTGTTTCAATGCTATTGCAACAATAATCATATTCATAAGATTTTTAAGACAGAATATATTTTCTTAATACCCAGTTCTATTGCTACAATAATTATATACATAAGATTGTTATTACAGAATATGTTTTCTTAATACCCGAGGTTGTATGAATATTGTTCTAGTTTTGTTGCTTCATTATCACATATGATAATAATTACAGAGGAAATTTTTTTAGTGTAAGGTTGTATGAATAGTGTTTCAGTCTTATTGCTACAATAATTATATAAATGGTATAGTAATAGCAGTATATGGATATATATTTTTAATTGTAAGGTTGTATGAATACTGTTTCAATTATATTGCTACAATAATCATTTACATAAGATTGTAATTACAGAATATATTTTCTTTATAGCAAGGTTGTATTAATACTGCTCTAGTTCTCTTGCTACACTATCATATACATATAAAAACAATTTCAGAAGATACTTTCTTTATTGTAAGGTTATACGAATATTGTTTCAATGCTGTTGCAGCTATAATCCGATATACTGTATGTGATAATAATTACAGAATATATTTCTTTTTTCTAAGGTAGAATGAATACTGTTTCAGTTCTATTACTAGAACAATGATGTACATAAGATAATACTTGCAAAAAACGTTTATCTTTATTGTATGAATACTGTTTTAGTTTTATTGCTACAATGATAATGTACATAAAGTAATTAAAACAATAAATATATGGTTAATCATAAGGTTGTTTGAAAACTGTTCAATGTGTATTGCTAGAATAATCAGGTTAATGAGGCAATGATTACAGAGGATATTTTCCTCATTGCAAGGTTTTATGGGTACTGTTCAGTTCTTTTGCTACAATGATTATGTACGTTATTCAATAATTAAAATGAATATATGCGTCATTATAAGATTGTATAAAAACAGTTCTAGTTGTATGGCTACAACAATCAATTATATAAGGTAGCTTAATAATTTCACAGTGTATATTCTTATTTCAATGATATATAAAAAACCTTTTTTTTTCATTTCTCTGATGCAACGATCATGTACATTAAGTAATAAGTGCAGTAAATGTGTGATTACAGAACTACAATAAACATTTGTATGAAAACATCTCAAGTCGTATTGCCATAACGACCATGTACATAACACAATAATAGCAGCGGATAATTTTGTTACTGTAAATGTGTATGAATTTGTTTTTATGTTGTATTGCAACAGTCATAAGTTGTGTGGTATAAGTAAACTTTCATTTGTGAGTTTATCGTTCATTTTATTTAGGCGGAGGAATATCATTGGAGCAATGCGACTTAAAGAAGACTGCTCATAGAAATGCTATTATATTCAAAATATGGCAAAGTATCTCCAGTCTTTGAAATAGGTTTTGATGACACACGTTTGATATCCCATATGTGCCACATGTATGTGCAGTGTTTTTCTACTGTGTACAGTTTTCAGCAAGATTGCATACCGTTATGATTTGTATATGTTTCCTTTTCTTTGTGATAGTTTATATCAGTTGATATGGTCCTTCATGGTTGAGTCTCTAAAAAGAATTGGTATTAGTATATGTTTTGTTTGCGTTTTCATTTCTTGTATTAAGCATAATTTAAATTATCTACAGTCGTTTTTTATTTGTTTGGCGATTTTTTTAATTACTGCCCCGACTGCATTTAAAATTATTAAACGTTTCTAACATGTCTATCGTGTCGATGTTGTCGTTGTTTTAATACCAAGATATACAGCAGTACTAAAACCAATCGTATAATCTTTTATGAATACTTTGAGAACTTTGATTTCATAAACCATAATTTATCCAGTATTTATCATCCCCATGTATATTCCTATAACATATTAAACCTTTTCCAATGACTTGCAGACAGTGTCTTTTACAATAATAAGTACTTGAATTTATGTTCATGAGGTATCAAGGTTGTTTATGTTGAATTTCTACAACAATCAAGTATAAACATAATACCAGAGTACATATTTGTATTAAGCCATTGTAAGGTTGTATAAGAGGCGTTTCGAGGCTGTTATATCAATGATCATGTACTATAAGACAATATGTACATTAATGTTTGTATTATATTAAGTTGTTGTAACATTTCAGTAATAGATAATAGATATTACAAAAGTTTTGCGTGTAATGGCCGCCATCTGAGGGAGCTGTCAAATTGACCCCACCCAGGTGTGAACTTACATTCAAAAAGTCAAGTTGGAACAAGGCTCTTGATGACACATCATCTTTAACCCAAATAAGGCTCAATCCATCTACCTAATCACGCATGTCAGAATCGGATTTTTGCTACAATTTAGTTGATTGGATGCTGAAACCGAACAAGGAAAATTGTGAAAATGATGTTGAATTTCGCTACGAAAGGAATGCCAACTTTATTGGCAATATTAGTTATTTTGGTGTTTGGATATTGTTAGTATTTTTGTTGTTGAGGTTTCTATTCATATATTCTACATGCTCCTATTGCCCTGATTGTGTTTTGTTTTGATTGTGATAATAGTGATATCACTTAATACTGTTGAATGTAATGCGACCATGTGTACATAGTCTAACTACAATTTTCCTTTTTTTTCTTGAGTTGTTTAATGACTTGTCTCTATCTAGTATATTACATTCTGTTTTCTTATGTTCGTTTGATTTGATAATTATGTTATCCTATCATGCCAGGATTGATTTCAGTCAATTATTTGAATTTGAATTTGACTTTGCTTCAATCGTTCATGTACCACATAGTTTAATACACTAGAAATTGCCCTTTTTCCAAAATGGCTGACTTCAATGATAAGTAATGGACTAAAACATCAATATATGCATACTGGCTCTACATTTTCAAATAGCAAAATATTTAATGCAAGCATTTCATTCATATATAGATTTACGTCATATCAGAACACTGAAGATAGAATCTCGCCGTCTTTGTGTTTCCTCAGATGAATCATTTATTTTGTTCGTATCACTATACAGGGCTGTCTCCTGACTGCCAGAGATGTGAATGCAACTGTCCTAAAGTCTTTTTTCGTTGATTGATTATAAAGTGTAATTGAAATACAGAACAACTTTCTACATCATGCAGATATATTAGGTATGATTTCGTAGTCGTAGTATTATCATACTCATTCAATAGCGCCATTTTTAGTGATTGAATAAAGGATAAACCAACGAAAAATCAGGTAAAAAATAATTGTGTCCTTTTTTTTGACCGTTTGGAAAAAGGAAATAGCCTTTTGAGGAAAAGAATTTGGAGCTTTATAACT